AACCTTAGCTTCTTCAATAACAGGTATTTCATGACCAGATTAACTTCGTAGTTTCAGGTCTGTGTGCTCCACAGGTTTTGACGCGAGAACATCAGTCCAAACGCTCTTGGGAATAATAGTTACAGAAGCTCCAGTGTCAAGTTCCATATCCACAGTTTTCCCATCTATTGCTACTGGCACGATGAAGGCTTTACATTTTCCACGGGAATCCAAGACTGTAAACATGGGCCAATGGCTTCCTTTCACTAATTGCTTGGGTTCCAGATCTTCCTCGACCAAATGAACCTTTTGCTGTTTCTTCTTTTTTCCCAATTTCGACTTTGGCGTCCACTTTTCTTCCCACTTTCCACGGTCTTTGCTTTTTCCTCGTTTTCTCAGGAAACTTCTTCACAATATGAATAACCTTTTGACAACCATGGCACTTGGAATTCCGAAAGAAACACGTGTCCGAAGAGTAATTGACTTTTCCACAACGAAAGCACTCGGGAAACGTAACAGCCACAGTCTGTTCCACACTTCCTCCATGCAATGCGGTGGCTTCCTTTTCGGTCAATTTAGCAGCACATGCCTTTTTGAGAGCCGTCTGTAAAGTCAAATCCGCGACTGCAAGTAACTTGCGTTAATCGTTCGCTCCTTTAAACCGCACACGAACTGATCCCGAATCGCCTTTTCGCGACAACTGCCAAACTTGCAAGTCTCAGCCAACTTATTAAATCTAGCAAGGATTCTCTTATCGATTCCGACTCTTGCTGTTCCGCTTTATGGAACTTGAAACGCTCGGCTATGACTATCGGCTTCGGATCCAGGTGCTTAACCAGATTATCCACGACTTCCGCAAAAGACAAATCTTTCGGCCTTCTTAGAGATACAATGCTTCCAAGTAACGCATACATCTTATTACCCACCAAGGTAAGTATGGTCGGTTCTTTTTTTTCTTCCAGCACATTGTTAACCTCGAAGAACATTACCACGCGCTCGACATAATGCTTCCAGTCTTCACCGTGGATTTAAAACGGCCGACCAAACTCTAATATTCACTACTAAATCCTAAAGCTACAACGGACAAACATGCATGCAACTTGACTTTTTCAAGTTGCGTTTAGGGGCATATGTTACGTAACATACCTTACGTAACCTTTGCACCCAATCATGTTCCCTATTGTCCTATCGGGTTATCCTAGTTCGTTAACACTCTAACACTGCGTATCGCTTAAAACTTTCAAGATTTTATTCGCAGTTCTCCCTTTAAGCTGACAAACAATTTCCTATCAATAGTCGAGAGAATTTGATTACCACTTTGCTTGATACGTTTGTTAGCAGTACAACTGGTATTCCGAAATGCGGAATAAAAAGCAACATTGGCCTAATCCTTTTGCAAGGAATAGACGAATTCAAGTCTTTGAGCCCTTTTTCGGTTGAAAGGATTAACTAAGTTGAACTGTGTCCGGGTGAAAACTTGTCAATATGTTTGGTGTGTCTGTAAAAAAACATCTTCGTTAGTTATTTCGATTGATTTTCACTTTTTAGGGCATTGAATGAGTTTCCCAGAAGAGCATAAAGATAAAAATTGCACCCCACTCAGTTCATCGATCATCGCAAACGATATATTGACAAGAATTTTCAATTTCCATACTCGTAACCGAATGAATCGTATTACATCAGTGGACCCCGCTACCAATTATTCCAGTTCAACTGCCATGCGCGAGCCACTGCGAAATCCTATTGGTTCAAAATGATCCCGGAGGCATCCCCAAGGGTTTCAAGTTCATATGTTAATTTTGACCAAATTATAACTTCTCGAAAGGGAAAAACAGTGTTTTGTCTCGCAAATTTACTGCGATGTGAAGGAACTCGCTGAAGTTTAGCGCGTCTGCGGTGTTTCCGGCATAAATCTGTTTCAAGCAGCGATCAAAGGACATTTTACCATTAAAGATTTTCAAGAACACGTATTCAGCATCTTTGGGGTAAACGATGAAGCTTGGGGCAACAGTGAACAAAAGATAGGTGAGTGAAATTTTGTGGAGTGCACTTTACACGAAAACACTAATAATTTATTAGGTTTGTATCGACGATTACTTCAACCACTAACAAATCCGAACTTTTCAAGCTCCGTTTCAATAACAAAAGTTTTCAGATTTAGTGACACAATTTCTCAAAGGATTCTCAAACGCAGTTACAATCTTCGTTTCTTTTCATACCCCAAAGACATGAAAGATTTGAGAAAACATTCTACGCAATTTGAGGATGAATGTTTACTTTAATAATTAAACAACTTTTTCGAATGGGCAGGACAATAATTAATGCTTGAATTTTCTCCCCATCTCGCGAAAAGCAATAACATCCATGTTTGTTTCTTTTGATAGAAATGTAATGGTGTATTTCTAGTAGAACCTAAAGAGGAATATGGTTAAATAACACACATGTATTTGAAAGGGGATGAACGTGAACTTTCAAACATTTACAAAATAATTCTTTGTTGAACAAAATAAATCAATCACGGGTTCGCCGCTGTGCTTTGTTGTTGTTTTATTTTGAAAATTTTATTTTCGAGTCAGACATTTAAGTTTCAGAACAAAATCTTAAAAATTCATAAATTTCCATGTAGGCATTCATCGCACCTCATTCTGACAAACTATCTGTCTTTGAAAATTCTCTTCCTTGATTTTGTCCAGTGTTATCGTAATTCAAAATACATCACGCTTATGGAGTAAAGACAGTTTTCCGATAAGCTTATCTTTCATTTCGAATCGGTGAAAAATCATCAGCAGTCAAAAGTGACTCTTGTTATTGTGTGGAATAAGATACCTGAAATTTTTTCGGGGAAATGTGGTATCAAAGGTATCAACAATTGCCACCTTAGCTGTAAACTAAAGCAACTTAATTAAGTTTTCGCTTCTTCAGCGAGTCTCTTCCATCTCAATAACTTTATTGTTACTGTCAAAAAACAAATTGTTTTAATGAACTTTGAATCGCAGACCACAAAACAAAAGCATCATATTTACGCTACAAAATCAAAATCTCTAAAGAACTGAGGTTTTCTTTTTTTTCCCTTCTATGGGCTCATCAGTTTCAATGCTTCGATGCAGGGTGCATTTTTCTGTGTCCTTAGAAAAAATATATTTCTCAATATTTCAGGCAGAGATGACAAATCTAAAACTTTAATTCGGAGAGTTTAACAATTAATTTTTCACGTAAAACGTCACTGGTTGTGAGCCAGATTTACGTGATTAGTGCTTAAGCTCTAAAATAGACACATGATAAAAATTCGATTTATCAGAATAAGTTGTTCAATATTGAGTTTGCGTTCTCAGATTTTTAATTGAAATCTCATTCCCGGTTGGTGTTCATTCTGACCGCACCGTTATACTGATAAAATCAATATAAGATGAAAGAACTGCCACTGATTGGCTGATGAGAGCGGAGACGATGCAAATAAGCTAAGCGTAAGTTCTTGTTATGTCTGCCGCTTCGAGTTCCGCGCTTGAAACCTTACTTCTATTTAAAACAAAATGCTGAAGTCCGAAAATAAGAAATGATAAGTAAGTCTTTAATAGAATGAAAATTATTAGCCATGAACAATGGGTGAATTCAGCGAAGTCTACAGTCATCCGGAATTGAGTTTCATTGTGTAAGAAAAAGATCGTCTAAATCTGTCTGACCCTGTGCTCTCGTTGACGAAATTTATCAATTTGATTAACGAAGATCAAGTCCAGATTCTTCTTTCTGTCGCCTCCTACGCAAGCCTTAGGCCTCTAACAAGATTTGCGTAGGGAGTTTCAATATTCTCTCCACCATAAAGGTCTCTAATATTCCTCGAAATAGCATACGTCGATCAGTTAATCCTACTCGCATGCATTACTGTGATTCATTTTTTCTTTAGGAGAAAAATTTTCAATTTCAGAAGTTCCTTTACATTTTTACTTTTGATATATTTGCGACCTATCTTTACGTGCTGGAATTCAGTTTTTCCGATGCAGTTTCAGATAACAAGATAAAACAGTTGGACAGGGCTACAACCCAATGTCAGGAAATCGGGGCTATTTTCGGCTCACCAAAACAAAATTTAATTAGTGGTTTTACATTATAAAAGAATCAAGTGAAGAATGAGCTCAGAAATTAAATATATAAATTTTTATTATATCCCGGTCGAACCTTCCCAAGACATTCATGGAAAACCTTCCTGTCGGGCTCTCGAAAAATGCGAGGAATACGAGCGTAAGAGAGCAAACAGCAAGAAGAAACTTCCTGCTTTGCGCGTTCCGATCTAAATCACTCGAAATCCATTTACGAGGCGCCTGTTTCTTAAACCAAAGTAGTGATAACCTCGCTAGATGGGATTAAGTTAATTCATGCAGAGAATAATATGCATCCCCGCATATGTCATAAATTTTTAGTTCTAAAGTGAGAATGATCATAATGCCACCAAGGTAACTTGCGTTACTCAGCAAATGAATTGTCCCGGACTCTTAACCAACAAGTCTGAGAGGGATTTGGGGCAGGATAATTTTTCTAACGGATAATGACCTTTTTTTTAAATTGACGGCCGAAAATCAAAACCATTAATTAGGATATCAACATACAAGTACCCACATAAGCATAGTTCCTTTGGAAATTTCGCGAAAGGTCAAATTGTCGCGCATTTCTTCAGCTGAGAAAATTTAATTTCAGATTTATGTGTCTAACCTCATTACACTGACGTGCAATTTTTATCAAGTGAGGGTCGAACCATGTACTTTCCCATAACAAGTTTTACCTTTCCGTGGGATAAATTTTGATGTAGATCTTCATTTTGACGAAGATCCATTTTATGAATTGAAGAAAACTCGACCTGTACACACCATTATCAATAGCATATCATTTTGTATAGCTTAAAAAAAATTAAGGAGGAAGACGTTTGATTTGAGATTGCTCTCTCGGCTAACACTGGGAACGAGTCGCTAAGTGAAGTCCCAGCGGGGGATAGCTTGCTAATTTTGAAACAATCTTGATCTGAGCGAAAATAGCACGCTGGCTAAGCGAGCTTATGGCACCTGTTTTGAAATCTTCAGTGATCTTTTCTGGCAGCTGATTGTGCTGGTGAAACGTACAGTCATGTTCGTCGACACAACAGATTTCCTAATTGAGTCGGCGATGGCAGAATGTGGCCGGAACGAGTAAGTTTGAACATTGAACAAGCACCATGCAAAGTTGGAGGAGGAATTTGATTTGCTAACTTCTCGAAAATCTTCCTTTCTTTCGGCATGCTAGAGTGAAGGGTGAATACCTACCACTTGCAAATAGCTAAGAGGTTAATGATATTTTTGTGAGCTTATTCAATTCTGTGTTTACTAGGAGACAACAGCACCCTTAGTTCGAGGCTTTAGACAGTCACTTATTCAGAAGTTACGTGCGCTATGTAAGAGACAGTCATATTGAAACATTAAGGCCTCTGAGATACAAGTGAAACCAGGTCCTATTCCAAAAGTATTCAGTAATCTTGCTACAAATTCACAACCAAAAAGATTCAGCTGAGCAGATAGTTCAGGCCCTTATTTAGTTATCATTTTGTATTAGATGTAAAGAATAGCTTAAAACGGCAACCATTGTATTGCAGGAGCGTTGCTTTAACAAAGGTCGTTGTTTTTCACAGAGGGTGCAGGATTAGATTGTTTCGCTTTCCAAAGGAGCGAGTTCTCCCGCTTGTAATTATTTTCCATTTTTTGTTATTTCTTCACTGGAAAGAAACCTATCGTTTTGTCACAGCTCATTGACCATTCTCTTCTGGTGGTTACGCGTCCTAATTCTTGCGCCTTGTATTGAATGACAGCTCTTTAGTAGGGTTTTCGAGTGACATTGCAAAAAGTGATTCGTTTGCGAGTGTCAGCAAAAGTGGTCTGTACACAAATGTTTCAAAACTGTAAGTGTGAAACAAACTTAGAAATTTAACAAAACCACAGTTGGATAGTTGCCCACTTATATTACCTGTTGCCCTATTGTGGTGATAGCTTTTCATAAGGAACGTTGATAAGCATTTTACCGGTGCGTATCAAATTTGGTAACACCTAGTGACGCAAAAACACCGGTAGCTCTCTTCGTTCTCAACAAGCTGTTACGCGCTTGTGTGACGGGAATCGGAGCCAGGTTTGTACTTTTCTTTTAACTCACCACATGTATATAAACTAGTGTTTAGAGTTGACCAAGTGTTCACGCGCTAATTTCTTTGTTAGCTCTCAGTTAGGATGGTTCGCTCTCGCCACGAGTTCTCAGCCGTCTCGTCAGTCAAGGGAAGGTTCAATTGTATTCAAGAAACATGCACAATCGTAATTTAGAAGCATTTTTGGTCGTGTCCCTAGAGACAAACTCAGAGCGTGCGAGCACATTAAAGAACAACACACGACTCTGAACAAATTGAACAAGTGTTGTTGACAAACTTTGGATTTTTTGCAGAACTTAAGTTTAACTTCAGAAAAGACTCTACGGAAGCCATAAAGTGAGCGAGGAATGGTCGTAAAGCTAAACAAGAAACAGAAGCTACAAGGAGTCAGTTGATGTTTGTGTTTGGAAAGAACAAACATCAAAGTTTTTATAACTTGCAAGGTAAGTGTACAGCCTTTTTCGGTGATGGACTTTTGATGGGTGTTTAGCAAACTTGAACGTTTTACTGCTTTGTTTGAAAAGTTTTGAAGAGTTTGTTTATCATTGTTACATTCTCAAGGAGAACACTAGGAATCATTGAATAGAAACGCGCTGTCATCTTAAAATTGCCCCGAAATGCGTTCTGAGTCACGTTCGAAATTGTCTTTTTGGGTAGAAACATCCGGATGCCCTTAGGCTTCACGAAAATGGAAATTATGTGTTGAGTGCTTTCCAGATATTTATCTATCACCGACTGAAGTTCTGTTGGACCCCCAATGGGTTTCGTCGCCATTGCTGATCGCATGAATAATGAGTCTATGTATGCAAGTGTCTTCACCCGTTCCCAAACGGTCAATTTCTCAGCTGGAAGTCCACCAAACCACATTGTGACTCGAATGCAAATATTCAGTCGGTGTTTGCTGTTCTAAGTGCGCTCGTCCAAAACGCAAAACACCGCTAATTGCCTTTCTCTCGACACTTTTTTAATAGAGCGATAAAAGCACCTTATTAATGAACGCTTATCTGATTTAAAGATGTCGTAACCTTTCCTAGGACAAATGAGTCATGTTTACCGCATAGCCCAACATATTTTGATGACAATTTCGACAACTGTGCCATGTAAGGACAACCATTGCGTGTTTAACGGTTGGGCATGATGGTCGAAGAGGATTAAGCAAATGAAATAACTTCGGTATTTTAATGTATTTCAAGGTTATTATGGCCGCTTAATTACTTGTTTGAGGCTGTCTGTTGTGACTAATCACTCTCACCGCACAAGTAAAACCAACATGAAATATATAAAATAAACTGAGATAACTTGGATATTTAAAGAATATCTCGATACTATTCTTGGCGGTCAAAACGGTTACTCGTGCACATCCAGTACGGTTACAGGTATTCTGACGCATTGAAGGAAATTGAAAGAAACCCTGTACAATACAGGTCAATGCATGAATTTAAAATGTACTTCGGTAACCACTCCTCCATAAACCGGCCAAATAAATCATTACGAACAAGGAATAGGTAATTGAGTTTGTCGGTCTTCATTTCAAGTTTAATAATTTCGAACAATGCTGTCACTGGCGACTTATAATTGTCATCCATTCCGAAACAGAACGGAACAATAACTGAGATTTATCGATTCAAAGTAATTTGCAAAACCTGCAGAACGTCTCGTGGCGGAGATCATGATGGATAGCCAGGTTGTCTAGAGACATCTACAAAGAAAGGCACTTGAAAGAGAAAAAGATAACCTCGTATTCGATTACAAGATAAAACGGTTCATGCAAATTCTTTGCATAAACATGACATAAACTTGGCATAAAATTCCCGCAGACAGTGTGGCTCAGAACTGAGACAATTGGAATGAACGAATGGCTGCAGTGCTGTTACTAAGGAAGGATGAAACTGATTGGAAAGCAAACTTACAAGTAAATTGATTAGCAAGTAAGTCTTTTAATGTAGTCATTTTCAAGTAGACAAATTATTTTAGAGAGCATATGGCATCGTGCATGAGTTTTGTTTACGAACGTGTGCGTAGCTATTGTTGCGATGACGAGTAAATAAGCCTTCATGATGACTTCATTACAGGTTTAGATATATACATAAACAGATCACCCAGCGGTATCATAACTCATTTCGCTACGGCGTTCTCTTCTCTGCGTACTCGAGGAGAAGAGACACCACTTCTAATAGAACAAGTTACGTAACATGATTTTTTAAGGATACGTTTTACAACTGGCACTGAAACACTCCGTATGATTTGCCTCGTTTGCCTTCACTGCTACAGCTTCTAAATTTGCTTCAAGTCATGATTAACAGATTATTAGGTAAACCAGCTCCAGATGATTTCAAATGGCTGAAAGAAACCTTAAGAGAAGTGCTCGTTTTAGTCATGCCAGAAATTTAAAACTAAACATTTATTCTCTTGTAAGAGGCCGTAAGAAGGCAATCAACACCCGTTTCGGTTTAGTTTCTGAAAGAATGTCAATCCACCAAATTTGAGTATACTAATCACCTCTTTTAGACAAACAAACAAAACATCGCGGTCTGTTATTGTTTTGGTTTAAAACGGAAATCAAGGTTTAATTGCAGTTGTGATTTTGGGGATAAGTGATGCAGCTAAAGACTTTAAATGTTAGAACAACTCGTCGGAGAGCTTAACAAGTTGACATCGGGGCCCAACATCGGAAGTTATTAACTCGTAGGATTCATGTCCCGGATGTTTTAGCGTCAGGTCTTATCTGTGGTTTGCAAGGTAACACAATTGATGACTGCTTTTCACTCAAGGGCATCTTAAGAATTTTTCAGGAAATCTACAGATTATGATAAAATATTTTATTTACAATTATATTTATGAAGTGTTTGTGTTAAGCGACAAGCATTAGTTGAGAAACGTTTTCGTTTCAATCGTTTTCATATTGAATAAATTATAATACAAAATTATCGTGAATAACTCAGGTTTTCACTGTTTTGAACACTCTTACTCAGTACGTGGTTAATAAATTCTCGAATAAAGTTCACTTTTTAGTATGTAAATATCGTCAGATCCTAGCAGGCTTCGAATATTTACGAGTATTAGAACTGGCAACTCAGGGTGTCACTTAAAGTCCAAAAGTTTTTCTTTAGCCCTTTACATTAAATCTCATTCAAAATAGTTAACAATCTAATCTTCAACTTAGCTTGGCAGCCTGTTGGCTAGGTTCTATGGTACCTCTTGTTTCAGGAAACTAACTGACCTTACTTCCGAATTCCAACTGTCAAAGGCTCAAAAATACTTGACTGGTTGATAATGCTGAAGTGAAGGTGCAATTCTTCCAAAATAATAACCAGTGGGGTTTTTGTTTTTGGAATTTGGAATACACTGCTGTTGTGTACTTTAGACATTTTTCGAGCATAACTTAGATAAAACCGCGTTGTCTTTAGCTTTGGCCTCAGGGAAATTCTGAGGTTATCTCATTCAATTCAAGCTTCAAACTAATCAGATCTGAAGGATATCTCATGGTGATAACAGAGTCACAGCCAATTGTGGAATTTTGTCTTAACTATCTAGTCATTACACAACTCTTGGTTGTGTGATTAGCAACATGTTTGTTCGGCATGATATATTTCACAGAGACCATTTATATCTGCCCTCTGAAGCAACCAATGACCTGTATTCTGATGTGCTTATAATCACGTTTTCATAATGAGTTTGCATTTAGTCAAAAGTCGTAGTAGATATTTAACTCAAATCCTACTGGTAACAACTTCTGCTTTATGGTATTCCGAAAATTTTCGAATGAGGATATGAAAACATGTCATCAGCTTTCTCGAGTGTAGACATCAGTCAAGCAAGAGCTGAAATCTTTCAAAATGGCATTCTTAGACAAGACAAAACAACATAAACGGAAAATTAATAAATCATGATAAACAAAAGTGTTGAAACTGTCATAAAGTTTTCTTTATGTTCCTAGAATCTCAGTTGGGATGAAAATCGATTGCAAAATATTTCATTCGTCAAGTCCTCCCTTGGGTAGGTCTCGCAGTAAGATGTACCCGACTTCATATGACAAACATTTGAAAAGAATGCGTTTCCTGTAGGCCAAATCAAAGGAAAGTTAGATATTTTTTATTGGGATTCTGTTTGGAGTGATTTTAGTATTGTTACAGCTTTTTTCTAATAACAACGAAAAGTATGTCTTCATGCAAGTACATGAGATGGTGGAACGATCCTTTTGTAATCAAATCAGAAATAACAAAATAACAAAGAAAATGCAAACATTTCTTAATACTTTATAAAAGATCAAGTTGTGCAGTATTGAGTGCCAGTTCTACCTGCATTTTTCAAGAAGAGAGAGTAATAATTTTAATATTTCCCTCATAATAGCACAGTATTATTATAAATATTTAACTTATTGTCGGCCAGTTGAAACGAAAGTGTGTTCAACAGCCTGATATAAAAACTCAAAACGCGACAAATTTTTGAATTTTTTTATCACTAAATTACTTGAGAATTTTCTAAATTGGAGATTGTTGTTTTCATCTGCTCTAATGAAATGAGTTTGATTACTCTGGCTTCATAGTTTAGCCATATAAAATTTCATGTAAATTCCTTATCTTGTATTACATATTGCACGAAGTTGTTCGACCCCAACTAAATTGGCAGCGTCATTTCCCAGAAATCTAAAAGCGAAATACCACGAAACTTTTCATTGAAATCGCTGAAAACATGCGTGAGCACAAATAGCATTTTTCACAGCAACCTCAGGCAAGCTTTTTAAACGGTAAGATCACAGAGTTGAGCTGTTTGTGTTCCTCTATTGTTTAAAGTCATTTAACTGTAGGCACGTAAGCATTTGGAGTTGACAATTTTTGGCAATTTGAAACAATAACATTTAGAATCAAATCTGCAGGTGATTTTATCATAATGAATCACGGAACACTTTAAGCTCAGCATGAAAACTGAACTGTAATAAACCCAACTAAATTGAAAAGACCGACCCAAAGAAAAAGAGGATTTCTCTCATTATTTCGCAGAAGTTTTGACAAAACATCGAAAAAGCTTTTATTTTCAGTCGAAGATTGCAGGCCGAAGATTGCAGGCCAGGTTTTACAAGTCAAAACAACAATATAACTACAGGAATTCCGATTTTATGGGTGAAAATATCGTTTTTAAAGTTGTTCTTAAAAACTTGCTTAAAAGCGTATTCATCATTAGCTGAGGGCAATGCTGAAAATCGCGAGAGCGGAAAATGTTTTAGTCCCCTTTAATTCAACTAGAATTTATCCTTTCAAATTTGTGTTCCAGAAATAATCTTTCACGCAGGTATTCCCTGTGATTTTGTAACTTTAGTAGCAATTTTCTTTTTATGTTTTTCTTTTATTCGCAATTTTTAAGATCACTTTGGAAAATTAATTTCCTTTCTTGTGTTCCTCGGTTGCATTGACATTAGGCTTACACCTTGAGCTTTCAAGAGTTGAAACCACTCTCACTCAATTTTGGGAATCCAATTCAATATGTGTAATAGGCTTTGAGAACTACACCTGTCTCTCTGTGCATTGCGCAAGACTGACTGCTACTTAAATTTTAATAAGAATACATCTTTTAATATGTATGGTTCTAGCGTGAGATTTCCCATTGAATTAAGAGGAGTCATTAAATATATCACTGATAGAAATCGTCACACATAAGTGTTTTTTCTTCTCCCCTAGTCTTTCAGCTGTGCAAGTTTTACAAAAATGTTAGGTTAACCCCAATGCACACTCCAGCGTCTTCATAAACTTAGTTGTTACAAACTAGGTTCTCTGAGTGGTAAATTAGGAATGTTTACAAAAATAATGAAAGCCACAGGCAGAAGTATACCACACTAGATAGATATGAATTCTTAAATGTTCGGATTATGCAAGATTCTTGACATAATTGCTTGGAAGTCATTTAAGAAAATTTACAGTTATAAGTATTTCAGGGCGTTTGGTTTGTGTGGGTGTCGCAGAAAGAGTCTCTATAAAGCCAGCAACTTTTCAATGGACCACTGCGAATTGTTAATGTTAAATTTATTGCTTGATTATGCCCACACGAGCTGGAATCAATCCAAATTTGTAATATTACTACTGCGAGGAACATTCGTACTGCGCGGCATGATAAGTTATCACGGGATGTATCGTCATAACATAGTGTATGGACCTGGAGGGTAGTAGAAAACTGCAAAGAATCTATTCCTACAAAGAAGGAGCTGAAGATTTGTTTAGACATTATAGCCCACAAAGAAACGACCGCCGCGCTGAGGACTGAAACAATGCATGTCAAGATCCTACGGAAAGCCTGATTAGCAACTTTTGCGGAATCTGCTGTTCAAAATGTTTAAAGAAACTGCAGCTTGCTAATATTAAACGTAAGTTTTTTGCCTCACATTAACTAACTGTCGTTTAACAGATAAATGTGTCTAAGGCATCTTCCACCGCACAGGCTAAATTTAGTCCGTATTTAGTTCGTATTATTCACTAAACGTTATAATTGCAGAGATTGGAGTCACCTGCTGTATATTGGCTTTATGGAAATAGGAAGTCAACCGTAACTGATTTATGTGAATTCCAACGGGTTGGAAAAACCTTTGAACACAACAAACATGTCGTATCATCCTCAAACAAAATATGAAATTTAAATTTCTTGCGTTAACACATTTCAAAACACACGAAAATGAAATTTTTCCATGCTGAAAAATCTTTCAGTTTTCGATTAAAGTTTGCAGACAGAGAGTAAAATAAGTGAAAAATAGGTTAGTATATTTTAAATATTAGCAGACGGTAAAATCATTGCCGACGTTTTCAAGACGTTCAGTGATGTTCGCCAAGAATAGCACTGAGCACCTGTATAACAACAGTTTGTTTGAAAGATCGAAGATGCTGACTTTAATTGTAACAATTATCTTTGAGGGAAAATATCCTTCCTTGTTATTACAAGAGGATAACATAATCGAATATAATCTCTATTTGATCGATTTTGTCGAACTTTTAGGAACTTTCATGAAAATTACTGAATAAATAAATTGTAAGATCCGTTTCTTAAACGCTTAAAGCAGCCTTGGCGGGTTTTTGTCAGCTAAAGCGGTGTTTTTCAATTTGGACATTTTTATATTAAAAATTGAAGGTGATTAAGATGTCGAAAGTGAAATGTAAGCCCGGCACATAGTTACTGCTGAAGTACGAATACTCAACAAAACAACAGAATGGTTGGAATAAGCTTCAGTGCTGAATTATTCATTCAATACAGAAACAAAGTGAAGAAATCATTCAGTAATCCTGTGGATGGAAGGCTAAGATCCCATCCTGAAATTTAGATACTTTTCCCAGTTTCTTGCCGGTGTTCGAAGATCTGAGGCTTATAGCTACCTGTATTCCCCAGCGGGAGCTGCACATGGATGGCAGCCAATGTTGTTCGGCTTGTGGCACCTCGCGGAGTGGCTATAAATACGTGATTAGTCAAGAGAGCGACGGTACACTAGAAAAGTGTCAAATGACCACAATACTGTAGCATATTAACACTCATTATGGGTCATCCTATTGTGGTTAGCTCTGTGCATGTAAGGATGTCTAGATTTTTTGTTACTAAGACACGATGACAAGAACCTGAGCAAGGGCTGAAACATAGGTAAGCTTCATCTTAGACATTTTAAATTGCTTACTTTGCTGTTGAAACCGTCCATAAGAACTTAAAAAAAAAATCTCATTTAAATGTCTCACAGCTATGCGACTTATGGCTTTTTCAGTGTTACTCTCTGTTCACTTAGAACACCTTATTTGATGGGGAAAACAGATAGAAGGTCTTCCTTTTATCTACATTACATCTTCCCTTACATCAGGGGCTAACTCAAATCAGAGCACAACTCCGATACGCTATCAAGCATCTCACACTGACAACCAAAGCTTTCGCAAAACGAAGAAAATGCAAAGGGAACAAAACAAAAAAACGAAACCCTCTGTAATTTACCAGCAGATATTCCAAGACTTCGTTTCAAGTCAGTGAAATTCGTGTTCTTAGGAATTAGTCTTGATTTTTTGGGGAAACTCTGGTTGACCACCGTGGCGTAAGTCTTACTGGGCAGGAACGTTTGTTGTCTAGTTAGATTGTTCTATGGGTTTTTGGTAGAATTATTTTAAAAACGGATAAAAAGTGTATATTTTCCTCACCTGAAGTGTAATAGTTGATGAGTTAGAACTGAGTGACTAAAGAAATTGTAGTTTCCGGTGCATGTTTAAATCAGAAGACACATTTTTTTGGGTGACAAATTGCTACAAAGATTTCATAATTTTTTTTCCGCTTGTACATCTTTCGAACGCAAGTCTTTCGGTTCAGTTACAAAAATTAGAAGGAAAGATGTATAGATAATTGAAATGAGCTCGCGGCAACTGAATAAACCACTGGAAAACTCAACTGACCGCACAAGATCTGTTAACCCAACAATACCATACCACAACAGGTATTTTTCCATCGAACCGAAAACAAAACTCAGAACTCAAGTAATATTAAATCGAACCCAAAATGGCGCTGTGGATTAACAACACGAACAAAGAAATGTTTGTCCAATTTTGCTTTTCTTAATAACTTGAATCTACTGATTATCGTCAAAACAAATTTTGATGCTAAAAATTGTTTAAAAAAACTAAACGTTATAGAAATTAACGAACATGGCCAGCATTATTCTCATGTCATAACACTATTACAGTGATGAAACTAAGCCAACAGACTTTCAAATTTCGTTTCGGAACTGTTGCATTTTGTTGTGTTTTGGGCCGGTAGAAGTTTTTACATAGTCTCTGAACTTCATATTTTATATTCGTGACAAATATTGCCGCAAATTTTACTCACCAACTTTAGTTAATTTCTTTTACGAAACAAGTTTAAGATAATGTCTAAGTAGCGGTCGACATGAGTAATATAAATAAGTGATTATTTCCCACGAACTGTCTAACCACCCTGTAACACTTTCATACATTTTCAATGCTCACCCGCACATCCAAGTACGTTCGAGTTCTTCCAGTGTTCACTTTTGTTATTACTAAAATTATTTATTTACGATATTTTCTCCGCGTTGGAAACTAACCTTGCCGTATCAAAACACTCTTACACTACTTCAATTGAGAACATAAAAGCCCTCCTTAGCGGATTGATTGATTAATTTAAAAGAGAAATTGATATTTTGTAAATTAATGACGTTACGTAACATCAGTAATCTGTTATAGAATATAAAATAGCTTCGGTTTCCTGGACGATGAGCGATCACCATGCGCATGCACTTGCCAGCCTAGTTCATCGTTTCCCAGCAGCTCTGATTGGTGAATCGATATCGTAAAAATCTGACAGCTGTTCATTCATCCTATCAGTCACGATTCCTAAACGCAAAAGCTCCGTCAAAAATTCTACTGGAAAATTAAGGTGTCATCGTAAGACCATTTGTGTGTCAGTTAAAGAGTACCAAACAAATGTAAATGTATACCAGCAGAAATATTACGTGCGCTCTCTGAGATTTTCACCAACGTTGACGCACACCTCGATCACGAAATGCTTTATGGTCAGGCAAGTCGTACACTGCTTCACAAGTGAAATAGGATAGATTCAAGAGATCTACCTTAGAACGGCTAAGGAACCGTCAGCGAGAAAAATCCGGCCCCGATTAAACAAGAAAAAAAGGCAAGTATTTTTTGGAAAAAAAATTCGAGAAATAAGCCAGCAACGAAAGTAGAAGATAAGCATCGGACTTGTTTATTTCAGGTACTTCTGCTTCATTAATAAGGTGTTGATAACTTCGACATGCGTGGGTAGTTTCTCCAGCTAGTGTGTAGGTTTGAAAATGGCCGGCGAAAATTAGAGATAAAAAAAACCCTGCTTCTATACAATAAGATGACAGCGCGAAGACGTATCATTATTGCTGTAACTGCAACTTGTTTTCAAGTGGTTTTGATTCCTATTTGCTCCGACAAATATACACCATCAGTTTTAAAACCACTTTGACTTTGATATGCGTAGCTTTCACAAAATGACTCGATCAGTTGCAATTGACACATCGACACTCACAGCTATCGACAAATCAGAAGTCGTAAGGCAGCTCAATAGAGATAAAACCTCTTTCTCGCCAGTAATCAGCTGATATCCGAGAATAATCACGGTTCCAATGGAGACAGAGCAACTCAGAAGACTACGCCAGTTAAAGAGACGTTCTAATATTCCGCACTGGAGATGGCTGGCGAGGACGCCTGTCAAAATATTGTTAGTACAACTGACATATCTGTCACACAAAATGTCATACAGCAGGCATCGATTTTCATTCTGGGATGCCTGTGATCCTTTGCATAATTTTTATCTTTCCATATCACTTCATCTCAGTTTATACAACCATTGCTGTAGAGCTGAGTTCTAACGACTTGAGAGAAGCTGTGGCTCAAATGAGCTTAGGGAGGCAAGGACTGTCACAATGATCAGAAACCCGAAAACATCTTTCTCCTATAATCGCCCTCACACAAATGAATTGTTCTTAAGATTTGTCTCAGATAACAAACTAGTATCACATGAAATGCACTAACGCCAACTGCATTTAAAGTGACATTTTAGTCACAAGTGTTGGTGTTGTGGGTCTTCTTCGGTTCCATGTTTGTACATAGACAAAATTGTGTTCGTGCCTATGGCTTCATATTTGTCAGTTTACTGTCAGACTGCCGCGCGCGAAGTAGTATGACCTCATTTGGAAACAATTTAAAAGTATGCATCGAAGGTGTTATATTTTCAAGACTAAGAACAGATCTTTCTTCATCTCATATTACCAGAATTTTTTTGCCGACTCGTTACAATAACTTAGAAGATAACGGATAAAGATAGGATGGCAATTCCAAAAAATTAACGTCACAGCCAAACTGAATAAATTTTTGGAAAGATTTGATATCACGGAACCACCAAACAAGATTGGTTATCCTTTCGGATTGAGTGAAAAGTACCGATTGTTTTCAATAACAGAATAGCTTAATTGAATTTTAGCAAATAAACTCAGGAATTGCATAAAGATATAGACGTAACGTTGTTCAAATTTATATTTTCTAGAAAATATTTCAATTTTTTGTACGCAACTTTGTGTATGATGAAAATCCAATTACAAGAGCACTGCATTCTCGAATGACTTCATAACTGGGTAGTGACTGTAGAGAAATATTTAAAGTCGCATGCAATACATATAAATTACTATCGAAAAAAAATATAATCCTTTCCTGCTGAATTACAGGGTTTTGTTATGATAATTTCACAAAAAGGGTTAAGATTTTAAAATTGTTATTCTTTGGAATAAAAAATAATTGGGTTATTCTGTAAGGTGCTCGACAAAATTTAATTAGGGAAAGAGCGTGAAAAGGCTTTTTGAGCCAAACTGTATGACACGAATATGTCTCGGCCAATCTTTTAGCAGCGGAACATTTCAGCTGGTTTTTAAAACAGAACGAATATTCTCTAACACTGACTACTTTTATTTTCAATTTACCTCAGAAAACAATTAGTTATGGAAAGAAGACCGGCAGAACTTCCACGAATTGCCGCAGTTGCATTTTTACTTATCAACTTCGGGGTCATAATATCAGATAGTCTGGTCATAGGTAAGTATGTTGTTTTTTGCACCTCGCAGAGAATCCACTACTATACCTTAGATTATAAGATTTGTGTTTTATTTCAAACAAAGAGCTTGAGATAAATGGTAAGCGAACTAGAAGCCTAGTTTATATCCTTCTGGTAAATTAAATGGGTATACACAACAGTCATCTGCAATGTTTGGCCTTTTCAACTGATGTAAACGGGCAAAAATTTCAGACATCGATTTTGCTTGACATTGAACACTGAACGATGGCTGGATTTATATACTGTTTTCATCATGCTTGCAATCAACCAAATAATCTTCATGCACTAGGTTTTCTAAAATATTTTTCAAGAAGCATGAAAAACACGAAATAAAATATCGCTGCTTTATTTTGGGGAGTCCCTGTTCCTCAAGGGAAACTTACCGGAGAAGCACAGCAGGCGGTGCCAAGATTTCATGGACAGTTGCTCTGATTGGTTAACTTTTAACTCCCACGATCTGCCTCATAATTCTCCTTTATAGCTAACATACATTTACTTTTAATGTCATATGAGAGAATATGGTGTTGAATAACAATAGCACTTTCAAGCCCATAGTTTGTCTATTTTCATTATCTAATGGCTGGATGGCAGACAGATATTGTGCGGGGTATTCCAACGTTGGTCCAATATTGCAGTGAAAGTGTTATGAACATGAAGGGTGTCACTTGATAAATAGAGGTCAAAATGGATGATGGGATAGTTACTAGACTTTCAAATCTCTATGTTAAAATTAAAACAAAACTTAACTTACCTTTGGTGCAGACTTCAGTGTTTGTGCCAGGCAATCCATTGTGCAGGATTGTGTCTCAAAAGTAAGAAGCACTTGCGTATCTCTGATAAACGACATCCGTGTTCTCCGCAACTCTGGAGAATAAAATATTTCGTGATCTCTTCTCTTTTGATGATCCTCATCCCACAGCTATCTGAGTAACAGGCAACACCTCGTATAATGTGTCATCACTGAGAAATAACATCCGTAATTCCAGTAACCCTGGGAAATAACATCCGTACATCCTTGTTTCACAATTAGATCGCCTACATTCCCCAGTTAATTGAATTGCAGGCAATACTTCTTGTAATGTGACGCTTGTGAAGGAAAATACTAAGAAATAACATCGGCACTTCCTGTAAGACTGGGATATAATACCTGTATTTCCATCTTCCTTCATTAGATGACCCACATTCCACAGTTATCTGCATCGCTGGAAATACTTCGTACAATGCGTCGTTTGCTAAGGACATCGAAGCGGGAGTGTTCACCTCATTGAAAGAAGTGGGAAGTGTAGAAAGCTGCGTGCGCAGAGCGTGCAACAGGCGGGCAGGTCACGTGGCTTTTCTTCTAGAAAAGACGTGCTTCATGGTCCGTTGCTACGTACCACCAACATCATGTAGAATTAAAACAACAAAACCTTCGACTCCTAGTATCTTCACAATTTCCATCACTCCATACACATGGTTTGGTAAGTCATCCAAGTACTCCTTGTCTAATTAATGCAAAATAGTCGAGACAGAGAGATAAATGTATTACGGAGAATAAACTAGTCTCGCCATCCATTGTTAAATGTTCTTTGATGTTTAGACTTTTTAAGACTAATGTCATAAGGTTAAAAAGAATGCAATGAATAGGTGATACCCAATGAAAGAACAAAGTAATTTTTCCCGTGATTGTAATGGCTGCAAACATCCTCTTTCTTTCGTTAATCTAAATTGTCGGACATAAAATTGTGGTCATAATTTGAGAAACACTTGAGTCTATACTTAATATCTAAACACCTTTAGGGGGATGAGAAAGGCGCATCCGTTTTTTTTTGTACTTTAAACCACGTTCCTTATGTCACTTACATTTCCCAGTAAAAATGAATTTGAATATAATACCAACATAGATTGAATTACTGAAAATAATAATCTATACTAACAATACCTGAGAGAATTTGCAGTCACATACCACCAACTCTCTTCGCTCATAATTATTATTATTATTATTATTATTATTATCATTATTATTGTTACAACAGCTTAGTATTAAGCATAACGCAGAATATATACTCTATGTATAAGAATCACATATAGCTGAATTTTTCGTCTACCTCTACTGGGGTATCACTTATTAGTAGTATTTAACTGTGTTTGTTGATCAGAGATGCAGGTATAAAATAGCAAAGTGATTCCATAGCTCAAAATCAAGCACAAGGCCTAATGGAGAATAAACCTTCGAATTTTACTGAGTTGGAAAGGAAGGCTCATGAAATATTTAACAGTTCTATATTATTTTCTTCTTCAGATGCTGCTCCGGTTTTCAGCGACGAATTACCAAGGGTGATTGAGGTCACAGAAAACAATCAGAGGGGTCAAATTATCCAGAACATTCACGGCCATGCAAAGAGCCGTCAAAATCCGAATGCTTCCATAAAATATTCCATTTTAACAGGTTCGTTAGGTTCGGCTCCCGAGTTGAGCCTGTCTTTGTTGTAACTGTAAATTCACCTCATGATAGGATTTATTGTGTTGTCAGTCTTCAGTGAGCTCTCAGTTGGTTCTTTCTCATGGGTAATAGTCGTAAAAATGGTATCAATGAAAACAGTTTTAAATGCAGGTAACAAAATTAATTCATATAAACGTCAGGAAATTAATTCATATAGACGTTGACCTGTTCATTTTTCCTTTAGGGAACACTGGAAATGCGTTCGAACTCAGACCCCATCCTCTCGGTCAAAGCGCGTCCTTAGTGGCAATCAGGAGACTAGACCGGGAAAAAATCTCTTGGTACAACTTAACAATCTTAGCAGTAAACATCGACGAAAACAAAACAAGCACCAGAGTGCTTTCGATCAATGTAACAGATAAAAACGACAATGCACCTGTATTTTCACATACCAATTACTCAGTGACAATATTAAGTAACCTTTCCTCTGGATCTGAAGTCTTCAGAATCAATGCAACTGACGCCGACATTGGAGAGAATGCGCGCATGCGCTTCTACTTGCTTAATCACCAGTCTTTATTTCGGATATTGCCAGAGAGTGGAACGATTTTGCTGAACCAGAAAGTCAGAGTGGATCGCGCGAACAGCTACACGCTTATCGTGGCGGCGAGGAACGGAGCGCACAAGACAATTACAACCGTAAAAGTGCATGTTCTAGGTGTGAACGAATACAGGCCTTTCTTTGAGATTCCAGAGTATAAAGTCAAAGTTTCGGAAGCTTTGAAAGCAGGAAACTCAGTTACAAAGGTTTTAGCGAGAGACTATGATTACGGGAAAAATGGAGAGCTCAACTTTACAATCATTGCTGGGAACGTTTCTTACTTCAGTATCGACAAGGAAGGTGTTGTCAAGACACGACAGTCGTTATTAACTCGCGGAGGTCTAAATGGTAGCTTAACAATCATTGTGAGCGACAAGGGGACGCCTCCAAAACGATCAGTGGATGTAGCAAAAGTATATATCACGATCGAGGAGATAAAGAAACACAAAGTAAAGTTTGATCTGGAGAGGTATCACGTGACTATAGCAGAGAACACGCCCATCGGTGCTACGATTCTTGCTGTTCGCGCCGTCTCGGGGGTGAAACGCGAGAAGCTCGAAGAGCAAAGACTGGACAGGAAGTCCAAACGTGTTGTTTACTCTATTGGAAATGCAGATGGTAATCGTTATTTTAAGATCGGTAAACACACAGGGCTAATAACAACGCAGGTAGCCATGGATTACGAGAAAGTCAAAGAATACAGGTGACTATCATTTATCGAATAAAGAAGCCTCAACTGTGCACTGATCTTTTGTAAACACCCAGGAAACGATTAGAACACGAAATAAGTGTTGGAAGAAACAAGGGAAATATTCCAGTGTCTTACATTTCTTCCTGAGTGCGTTACCATTTTCTGTATGTTTTACAACAAAAGAGAGTGTAGCCGAGTGCCTTGACCAATCAGAGCACACCTTGCATCAAAACTTGATTATAACTCAAAAGAAAATTGTTCAGTAGGGTCCACCAGTGATTACGTCATAAATACACACGTTGTAGTGCAGTTGACGAGACTTACAAATTATCCTTATTCCTTATATGGTTCCTTTTCTTTCTCGTTAGATTGGCAATATTTGCAAAGGACATGGAGAGACGAGACGAAAGTGGCCGCTATGAATCTGGTAAATTTTGGTTAAAATTAAATTTTCCTTTGTAAGAACTGCCTATAATCTTTTTAATAAATTCCTTAAATGTGTTATCTAGTTCCCATCTCTCAGCGACCGGTCACAATTTATCGCCTGGGGGTGGGTCGGAGGTTTTTGGTTGTGTCCGATGAAATTTACCTGATATCCCATAAGGCTCTGTAATATTCTTATGATCCTTCCCCATAAGGCTCTGTAATATTCTTATGATCCTCCCCCATAAGGCTCTGTAATATTCTTATGATCCTCCCCCATAAGGCTCTGTAATATTCTTATGATCCCCTTCTTCATTCGCAGTTAATTGGCAGTCATTTTTCTATAGTCCCCCCTCTTATACTCTGTTGGCGACGACTGATCTCCCCCCCTGCGTTTTCCCTATAAATCATGTGACTCCCCTCTCCCCCTCTCCCCCACCGAGATCCTCCTCAACTTTTCTCATTTGATAAAATTAATAGCTTAGCTCTTATTCATATTACAGACAAGTCCGACGTCGTCGTTCGTGTATTGGATGTCAATGACAACGCACCTCGCTTTGTTCTTGACTCGTACCAAGAAGTCATCAGCGAAAACGCCACGGTGGATTCGGAAATACTTCGAGTAACTGCGACGGATGCCGACTCTGGAACAAATGGCCAAATACACTACAGGATAGACCACGGAAACTCTAACGGCACGTTTGAACTAGACGATAATAATGGCGTTTTAAAGCTACAACAGAGGCTAACAACCCAGGCGTCAGATTTCTACAACTTGACTATCTTTGCCATGGATCACGGAGTACCCTTTCTGATCTCCAGGCCAACGTTCATCTACTTGAAAGTTCGTCGCTCCATTCACCCTCCATGCACGAAAAAACTGGCATTTCCAAAAGCTATCTACTTGGCAGATGTCAACGAAAGTATTCCCATAGGATCAAATATTCTGCGTGTGACTGCTAAAAATGGCAGATGTAATCCCGCAAGTAAAGTAAATTACTTCCTGTCCGAGATTCGCGACCCAGAAATTGATGACCACTTCAAGGTTTTTTCTCAAACAGGTGTTATTAAACTACTGAAACCTCTAGACTTTGAAGATCGGAATAGGTATACGTTTTACGTCGGAGCTACAGGTAAGTCGATACACGTTCACAAGGCTGCATTCTCTTCTCTATTTCATGTGCATTGCCCTGACTTGGCTCGTCGCCCTTCTTTTAGATACAAGGTATAACCTTCAATAGAGTGACTCCCTGTTGTCTTACTCCTCTTACTTTGCGCACGATAATCGCCACCATACGGTGTGTCAAAGGTTGTAGTCAGCCAGCTTTAATCGACTTGGTCCCTGGGTGGGAGCAACCAAACCTCTCAAAGGCTGCAGTTTCTTTGAATTGTATTACTTTATTTCAAAAAATCACCTTTTTATTGAGTAACCTTAGATTAATCTTAATTTTCTCTTTAACAACTCCAGAAACAAACTTTCTCTGATTTTTTAGACTCCAGAACAGCAAACCCTGTCGACACCGTTCTCGTTCGAATCTTGGTGAAAGACGAGAATGACAACAGACCTGTGTTCTATGAACAACGTTACAAAAAACTTCTAACAGAGACACCAGAGCCTAAGACTGTGGTCGCCCAGGTCGCAGCATTCGATAAGGACTCTGGGAAAAATGCTGAGCTGGAATACTTTATAGTCAGCGGCAGTTACAGCTATTTTCGTATAGACCAAAAGTGAGTGTCACTGTCTAGAAGAGTTTAAACACGGTTTGACAATGTTTCCATCGGGTTTAAAAAGACGGTTATAGCTTCGATCCTTTCACTACAACTGTTAGTGTTCCATGGCCGAGCGACACAAAGCGGTTTGAAAAATTGGACCATGGTGAGAAAGGGAAGACCTGAGATGCAATGTTGTGGGTGACTACTATTTACACAAACCTAAGAGGGAAAAGTTAAACTCACTCTGAGTCATTTTCTGTTACCGAAAAACGCTCTCCTCAAGCTTGACGTTCTTAGCGGGATCCATGCCTTACCGGGACAGTTTACGATATCGATTTTGTTTCTATTTGTTAACAAGTGTTAATTTTTCTCACAATAGGAGTGGAGCTGTTTCGACGAGCGAAAGAAAAAATTTAAAATCGCAGAATCTTCGTCTGTTTAACATAACAGTGTCAGTGTCAGATTACGGCAAACCTCCGCTGAAGGCCAAACGGCAGGCTCGACTCTCTGTACTGGTATTCCTTCCACTCCGGTCCCCTCTCATTTTAATCGAAACAACGGACACGACCATGACAATTCGCTTTGACTTGAAGGACATGGCACGAAGCAACATCGCTAAATACGGCATCATAGTTCAAGAATATGTCGACGACAACAGCGAGTGTAAGTACTTTATCTTTCTCCGTTAATTCGCGTCACCAAGTGATCTGTCCTGTTCGAATTCCCGATTCTCCTCAATTCAGCTCACAACAAACGAAGGGGCCACTGCCAGTGATCAGAGGTTGCTTAGTCAATCACCGAGGGCTTAACCAGTTTACATTCGTACAATTGAAACCGAAGGAGAAATTGGTGTGAGGTACCCTTTGTGTTTCGTTTCGCTGAGTTGGCAGAGCTTACTTGGGTCAGTAACACCAGTTCTTTACTCTCAGAACCCACCAATCCATAATTTACTCACTCAGGAAAATTCTCTTTTAGATGATGAAATCAGTGAAAGAGAACCACTCACGTGGTATAAAGTGAGCCAATCCGCAGAGGAAGACCAGGCATTAAATCGGTACATTACCAAAGTGATACCGTCCACACCGTCTATCGAAAAATCTAGACCGCTTGAGGTGGAAATTGGCGTGGACAAAAATTGTGAAAACAGACGGGGAGATAAAGATTTCTGTAACGGACCGTTAGGACCAGGCAAGAAATACAGGTAACATTCCATACTTTTGTCTTTATTAATATTGATCTTGAAGAAGAACTTCTTTCATGTTATTTTTATTATAACATCAGAATCTTGGTTAAGGGCATCTTTCCGCCAGGTTCCCACTACTTTCCTCTAAGATAGAAAGCCAACCCTTCAAATTTTAATTCGTCTCGATACAAGTGGATGAAGAGCTCTTTTCTGGATTTTATTTGTGTGCCAAAGCGGTTAAGCTTGTGTCTTCGTGAAAACCACTCATTACAAAACACCGTGATCGTAAACATTCTGTTGTCGCGCTTCTAGATTTCAGTTGCGCGCCTACTTGAAGTCCACCGGACCTTTTGAGGACTGTAAATATAAGGACAGCGATTTCTCAAACCCACACTTTACAGGTATGAAAAATATGCTATCGAACGATAAACATCTCCGTCTGGAAAGTACGAGGTAAAGGCTGATGAGTTTCTAGAAAGAATTTTCTTTCTTATTTCAACACAGATATGCGATAGAAAACTTAACCAAATTTTAATGCATGACATAATGTACTTGACATCAAGGCGTATCTAAAGGGGGGAAGGCAAACAAAGCACGTGACTCTCCCCTCTCGATCTGGTATGAAAAGGTAGTAATGTGTGATGATGAAATATCCTGATTCCATCAAGGCACTGTGTGAGACCCCAGCCGTTAAAACGCATTTCCATAATTGAGATTCATAATTTTAAACCCTAAACTTACGAAATCGCCAGTTAAAAAAAAGAGACTTTTTTGACCCATCTATAATTTACAGTCCAATTCTGCCATTAAACAGCTAACGACAGTATCATGATAAATGGAGTCAAATTGGTTTTTATTTAGCATTACCACAACCGAAGCCAGCGTATCAAAAGGAAGTGAGAAAGAATTACGATGCGGTTGTATACAGTGTCGGCACTGCTTTGGTGTTAGTCATCATTTTAGCCTTTCTGAGGGGTTTTTATCGATTAAAATTGGATAGAAAGAGGTCAGTAACATTCTCATGTTTGTTTGAATTTTAACCATGAGGCTCCATCCCTCCCACGAAATAGTATATACATCATAGTTGTGCAACAGCTCTACAGAGCGAAAACTATTGTGGCCTTATAAGTTCTAACAGATCTAGTGTCGTAGCACTCGACGTCTCTTAAGGAGTGATTTCTCTTCTGCTACATTTTTCATTCCCTTTTCCTCGTTATAATGTCAAACAAATCTTAGAATGTACACAATGGAGGGCATTCACGCAGTCAACAGGTCAGGTATTGGTCAATTAAATAATTGATCACTTAAGCGGCTGTTAGAGTTTGTCATCAGTTGAAAATTAATTGGAAATTTTCGTACAAAATGTTTTTGTTTCGAATTCTCCGATTGAGGGGTAAGAAAGAACGAACATACTGAGAAAACCAATTCAGTTTGCATGTGATCGTGTGAATGAAAAACCGTTTGGAGTAAGAACCTTGTAACTGATACGAGCAGCCAGATTCTGTCCTTGTAAACTCCTCATGTTTCTGTCAAGCTCTCAACCACCAACACCACTCCGACAAAAAAATTACGTGTTCCTGAATTCAGACGTGCACTTAAAACAAAAATTTCTTTTTAGGATTCATGAAGAAAAGAAGAAGCGTATTTCATTTCCAATGAGTAATCCACGGTTCCAGGAGCCAAACTCACCAGTTGAAAAGATCAAAACCCCAGGACCCGCAAAGTGAGTATCACCTACCACAAGTACAATCGGAGAAGAAAGAAATGCATGTCATATGCTGGATCACGGATCACTCGCATGGTCTTTCCATCAAACCATGATAAACACTAACTGTTAACTTCATACCAGATCACTTCATTCACAAAGGGATTAGAACTGGCTGCTTCGTTTCATAGCTTTCCGTCTTTTAAAAAACGATCCAGATATAATTTGATTGACGACACCAAAAAGAGCTTAGAATTAAAATGTTAAAAAAAAACAACAACAACAACAACAATAATAAGCTAATGTTTCCTTTATGCAAAATACGGATGTTGTGTACTTTCCAATAAGAGATCTTTTCGTTTAGCATCAACAAACATATCGTGACCTATCAGGACAACATGTTTACTATATACCTTTCCTTTACACTTATGCATGCTCTTTCTCTTTTATTCAAGGAAAATGGTTGCTGTCAATCTCGACAAGGGCTCAGGTATGTGACAAAAACACTTTTGTTGCGTTCCATAATTTCCAAAGGCGTCACATGCTTGCATTAAGGTCTGATCTTCTTTCCTTTCTATTTCAGAGTTTAGTCATCGGGACGAAGACGAAGGTTCATCCCCAGACTCCGCACTAGGTACGTGTCCTTCGAGCAACTCCGAGCCTACACCAAGAGAAAACATCAAGCCAACGTACTTTACCTTTGAGTTTTAGGGAGAATCGCGGAATCTTTCCCCGAGGTAACCCCCTCGCACACTTCTTTGCTTCTTTCTCGAGCCTGTTAATTTGTCGCTCCATCTTGTTGTGGTCTTTCAGGGCATGCTCGTCTGGAACTTCTTAGAAAGCAATATCTATCTGTCTTTCATACTGCAGGATCCCCAAAGGTCAGTGTCCTGCAATCCTCTTCTCTCTCCCTCTTTTATGTTCTTTCCTTTCCTTCTCCTTATCTTTCTATCTACTTTTCTGGCTTGGCTCCTGTAGTCTCAACTCTTCTTTCCACCAATTTTCTCCTCTTATCTTTTCGTTTACCTTCTATTCTCTTCCTTCCTTTCTATTTTTGTTCTTTCAGTCTACTGTAAAAACTGTGTTAGCGCCATAGTTCCTTTCCTTTATCTTTGTTCACCGTTGTTTTTTACCATTATTTTCCTTCCTTGAGAAGGCATGCTGGCGCGCATGAACTTTCAATTCAGGACACCGATTTACAAAAGAAAAGCCACAGCTACTGAGTTTGTATCTTCATCTTAGCTATATCCTTCACAAACTACTGAAACCTCATATCATCTCAACTATTGATGTGCTAACACCCGAGGGTGCTAACTTAAAAAAGCAAACACTGGCCTTAGTCCGTTACTGATTCATTTTCGTCCGGCTAGCTCTCCCAATGCAATCTTAACAACACCGGTTGATACTGCGTCACATAGAATCTTACAATGGTTATTCAGAAGGGTTCTAACAATCCAGTCTTGATGTCTTTCTCTTAACCTGTCCTTTGCACCTAACCAATCTTGCTTCATCTCTTTCGAATCTTGTTTTCTTCTTCTTCCGGCAGACACCACCTAAAGGACTATGTAGGATGCAAGGACGACCCGTTTAGATAGGTCAGTCCTTCAATTTCTACCTTTTGCTTCTCTCCATTGATTTTCTTGGTGCCACAGTAAAACCAACCCTTGCATTAGCCACAATTCAACATGGTTCCTAAAGTATAACTCAGGCCACTTCTTGTTCTGGAAGCTTTTGACTACATGTACCTAGTCTCTCTCTGAACACTCCAGCTGAAATTTGAATTGCAAGTTCGAGAACGAATCATTAGTCCGCACTTCATCCAACCCATTGTTCCATTTAGCAACTCGCGGGTTCACTTTCACCAATACCGACCTTACACGTTGACTCCTAACATATCTGTAGCATACTCTAAGTCTTCACATGAACTACGCAAAACCACTCCCCTCATGAAAGCAAATACGTAAATTTTGAAAATTGTCGCTATTCGTGTAAAAAATACTCAATTATTTCCTTCATTTAAGTTCCTCGTGCATAGTAAAGGGCAGCCAGTTGATCATTAAATAAGTTAAAGCCCTCTCAATTTCGATTTAAAGATGGATTGGTATTCTTTAGTAAAATAAACTGCATTTGAATCATGAAATAAGACACCCTCTCGTTGAAACCACCATCACAATTCTCTTAAGCATTTGCCATAGCCTTAACCTCTAAACTTATTATTATTATTATTTTTAAATTTAACTTCTATGTTGTCCAAAGTTTAAAGTCGTAAGGGATTTAAAAGGTATCTTTTGCTTATTAAAATCATTTTGTAAACTGCTTACAGAGATAAGACAGAAAGAATCTTACAAACTACCAGTATTCATCAGAAATAAATGTCAATTTGTAAACGCTTTTTTGATAGACGATTCCTTCGTGCACTTACTGAGGGGTTGTCACTAAATGGCATGCCTCGTAGGTAGGTAAATACCTCGCTTTCCCTAATCCTTTATAATTACTAACCCTAATAGTAACCACTACTCAACTGCAAATACTAAATTGTTACAATTTGACTGAAGTATTAAAAACTGAATTTCAACCGATAAAACCTACCTACGAGATATCCCAAATCCATAGTGAAACCCTGTAAACTATGACCCTGTTGACTAATGACCTAAAAACCCTAGAACATAACTAAAGTGATTCGATTTATCAGAGCAATTTTCAATTGAGTGTCGAAATTAATTCGGCGTTGCTTTCTTTTTGCTTTACGTCATTCAGTGATTGGTCCAGAAAAATCGCGTCACTCTCTCAACCAATCAAATGCAAACTAAAACCAATCACAACTAGGTCACCCACGTTTTCCCGCGCTTTGGGCAGAATGCTTGTTTTCACTTCAAGATCTAATTGGCTGTTTATGGTATTTTTCTTTCTTCTAATTGGACATCGTGATAAGTTTTGTTGTTGAATTACGACACTCAATCGAAAAGCGCTTTAAAAGTACAAGTAATTAGGGTCGTTGAGCTTAAAACATTGATTAATAACTCACTGCAATAAGAAGATCCTAAAATCAAAGTTCTCAATAAAAACTTCTCTGGCTATAACAACAAGATGTAATCACAACATTCAGGTGTTACTGAGTAAAATTAAGGATCGAGAAATGAACCCTCCAAATTACTTGCTAATAAATGTTGTTTGCGTTTTACAGATGAAAGTACAAGGCCATTACAGAGTAGAAGACGTCCAACATTACAGGAAGTGAGATTAAAAAATTACTTTAACTCCGTGGAGTCCTCGTCGTGTGCATCGTGTGACCACGTGAAAATTTACTGTGTGCAGGAGACAGTCACGTGATCGTACAATAGCCTGTCATCAAACTGACACTTGCCGGACAAAATCAGAGTGGGACACTTGTCTGATCCAGAGTGTACATCACAAGTCAAGTTTACGACATAACACAGTTTTAAGATGAAGTTTGGTTCTGTTTTTAAAAACGAAGCATTATGTAAAATCTCAATCATAAGCTTAATTTTCATCGAAAGGAATTTCGGAATTAAGCTGTACTTGACCACGCTGGTTTTTCAGCAAGCTTCGCTTTAAAACGGAGCCAAAACTTAGCTCGTAAAGGCATTGTCAAAATGTGTCTTTCGTTGTTCTTTTCGTCAAGACAGTCATTGTTAGGAGGAATTTTCGGCAATTCAAAGGAATTGACACGTTATTTCACACAATCAGGCGACTCTAAACTAAAGACATAAACTATGAGGGTATTCAAATTTGCTTTAAAAAACAAACTCAAGGGTAAAAATAAGTTATTAAGATTATGAGCACTTATTAGACACAATATAATTTTAAAAACGTAATATTACTGTTACTAGAGCGAGTTTTAAATAGTGTCAAAATTAATCCGAAATTATGTGGGTTCTGCTGGTTCTCCTTTACTGCATTGACTTTTTGACCAATCAAAAAGCAACTAAACTGACCGTGACTTAGTCAGGCATTTTCCCGCGTCTAAACAGGTCACGTAAATTTAAGCGGGTCTAACCGTCCGAATGTATTGCTTCAACACAAGGATCTGCCCTAATGTTAAGAAACTTTACTCAAAAGTGCTCTTTTGCAAAAAGAAAACTAAATATGTGGGTAAAATGCTAAAATGCTGAGATTTATCTTTCCAGTTGGAATGTTTAAAAGAAGTTATCTAGTTCAGATGAAATTATTTCCTAGGAAAGTTGTCCTAGCTGTATAGTATAAATATATATATATTACATAAATATGATAATCTTGTATGGATCATTTTAAGATTTTCTCCTTATTAACAAGGACCGAGTGGCGAAATTTTCATTGCCTTTCCATACTCCACTGGCTGGTTTAAAATTCTTAAGTTTTCTAATTAACCTTTTACAATTATATTAGATTTCGTCCAGTTGTTGTTTTTTTCTAGTCTCTCAGTACAACTTACAGTTTCCTCAAGTTTATGTAAAATTTTTTTCCTTGGGAACGCATGAGAGCGAATACAACAGTTGACAAACAAAGTAAGGTGTATCTCGGGTGATTCTAAATCTGCCGTAATTCGATTCGCATCTCTCCCTGTTGGCCGTTATATATTTTTCTTGTAAGTCTGGAAATAATGTTTGGTTTTCACATCAAGAATAAGTACATTCATTTCTCTTGCTTGTTTTCTGGGTAATTCAATACTATAAGTAGTGGTAAGATTTCCTTAACATTTCTAACAATTTATGGGGTCTTACAACCATTATTGGACCATAGTAACGTATTCGTAGTAACAAAGTAATCGCGCTCAGTCGATTGTAAATAAGGAAATGATTGGTTTGCAATATGTTTGAGGCAAAAAAAAAATTGTTGTAGAAGCAACGTGGTCGTGTAATTAAGAATTACCGTGAGGCGAAGCTTCCTGCTTCGCGCAAAACGTCATTCTCTGACAGCTAGAGCGAAAACTCTGTAGTTTATTGGCTTAACTATGTCCCACGGCTTGCCTCATTCCTATAATATACAGACACTTGTGTTAACTAACGCGTGTAACAACTATGTCAATGGTAGCCCCTACAGAACCTCTTTGCTCTTCACAAGACTACACTGGTTCATTTGTGATCAAGTTTTTTATCACTGTAGCTACAGAATATTATCAGTTAGGCGTACTTTGCGCATGTTACCAAAAAAATTAAACTTATTGCAGATTTAAGCTTTGCGAGACAATTGAATTGAACCAAATTAATTTAAAGAAAATGATAAATTAGCCAGATCAGCTTACTTGAGGAAGAAATAAAAACTGCATTGTTGGTGACTTTATTTGGTTTCTCTTTGACCATGGTTACGTTTTTTCGTGTTTTCTTCATAATTAAAATATGTGGTTTCAACAAAACAGAAAATGCGATAAGTATCCTTAGAGAGATTTCAAGGTAAAACGAAGTAAGAGAGAACGTTCGTGTCCTAACATTTTAACTTCACCTGTACCCACCTCGACGCTGTCTTAACCCTAAGCAACGCAAAGCTCCTGGCTGAAGACAATGTGATACCAAAGAAGACGCTGGTTAAAGTAAATCTCAGTAAATCGTCATGGCACACATTCAAGTTTTTCCGATAATTATTTACCAGGTCAAAGCTTCCTAGTCATGCAGCCCAGTAGCTAGTAGGTTCATTGAGTTTGAAGTATTCGCACTGAGCACAATCTGTGCTCTGATCTATTAAAACTACATGAATAAGTCCTACATGACCCAAGGATGTTGCCAACTTTGGAGATGGTTTATTCCAGGCAGCACAATTCATGAACGTTAGTGTTCCTTAGGTGACATGAACAACAACATACGCAGTAAAGATAAACTGAAAAAACGAAAGCAGCTTTATTATTTACAATCGTTACAATAAATAACTTGGCAAAACATCAAAGTATATATTAAGTACCAAAAAGAATGTCTATTGGTAAATCTGTCATCTCGCAAGTAAGAAATCTAAAGAAAGTTCTGAGAGCGTATAAAAGTATTCATCAACATTTGCATGAACATTAGATATATATCCAAGACAAAAAGAACCACGACAGTTCGGGACATCAAAGTTCAATAAAATAATCTGAAAGGGAAAAAAAACAAACACCATTGTCAATGGAGCTGAATATATTAAGAACGCTCGGGTAACAAACGTTTTAAGAAAACCAAGAGACACTAACTGAATTTACGGAGCTGGGAGGCGGTTTTCGCCTCAGCTAATAGCTAGTGTATAAAGGAAGAATGACTCTAAAGAAACTGTGGTGCTACGTCTCTGGGGGATATTACAAAACAATTTGGTTTTAGCAACAGAGTTGATCATGCAAATAGGCCACCGTAAAGAGTTTTTAAAGTCGACATTCCGATCGTTAGACCATCCTCATTCTCTCTGGCGATGGGCTAAGTTGAGAAAAACCAAATTATTTTGTAATGGCTTATGCGTTATTTTAGGATACAATTAGCAAATACGGGTCACCAGAATCAAATTCAAACCAACCATGAAATCACCCCTCGCGTTTTCTCGCGCTCAGGGCAGTTTCTTGCTCGTACTAAGAGTTTTCGTTGGCTTCTGGCTACCTGCGATCTGCGTTTCCTCGCGCTCAAGACAGTTTCTTGTTCGTACTAAGAATTCCCCTTGGCTCCCAGCTACCTGCGATCTGCGTTTTCTCGCCCTCAAGACAGTTTTTTTGCTCGTACTAAGAATTTTCCTTGGCTTCTAGCTGCCTGCGATCTGCGTTTTCTCGAGCTCAAGACAGTTTCTTGTTCGTACTAAGAGATCCCCTTGGCTCCCCGCTACCTGCGATTAGTTTAGTCGTTGTGATTACTTTGGTTTCGGTTTGACGACATCTAATTTAAAAGCGCTCTATTTTGAACCCTCAAAAGTTCAAAAGAGAAAAAAATGAATTGCTTCATAAACATACCAGATAAATAAGAATCATCTTGTTTACGACAGAATTTGAACTTCAACAGTACCCGCACTGTAACCTTTCTGCTCAAAGAGAAAAAAAAAGGAGTAAGGTTTTCATATTCAGAATTTGGTTTTATAAAACCAACAAAAGGAAATACCACTAGACGAAAACGACACTTACCACCAAAACTTGGAGCTTTTTGTTTCTTCTCACGAGTTTGGCGATTCGACTCTTTTCCTAAAAAGAAATGAAAACAGCTCAATGGCCACATCATCACCTAGTTAGAAGACGAGGTAGCCGAAAACAGCCGATTTGGGACACACCAATAGCCCCGAACGCAGCCGACAACAGCCGAATATAACTTGTCCAGCCGAATGCATTCGAATGAAGCCGAAAATAACAGATCTACGGAGTGGCGATGCAGGTCAGTTCTATTACGAACGAGCAATAAGAGAACTAAGAGCGTCATCTTCTGAAAACAAAAGCCTTTAAAGATTTTCAGTAATTTAACGTTGCCCCATGGACCGCTACTCACCTAGCTACCTTTACAAAACGTTAAATAACAAAAAATGTCTCGTACCTTCTTGTTAGCAGAATTTGAGTACACTATGCAGCACTCAAAAGCCTTCAGTGGATATAAGAAAAAACGAAACGGTTATTTAGTATATTAATTCTATGTATTTTTTTGTGTAAATTTAGTAAATTAATTCTAAATATATTTTTGTGTGCAGTTTCCAATTTGAGTAAATTGCACACCGTATCTTGTCAAAACAGCCCCTTCATATTTGCTCTAACAAAACAAATATGCAACATGTCCATGACTGACCTGCGCAGGAGGAGACGTGTAAAACTTATCATCAAGCACCCTCAGTGCTCTTTGATTCACTTCCCACACATCACCAATGTCCAGAAGTCGAACGCAAATCTGAAGATAAAAAAAAAATAGGTAATTTTCTAGAAAATTATTATTTTTTCTCAACTTGCAGCTATTCAAATTGTCCGTTACAAATCAAGACTTAAACAGGAAAACCAATTTACCTTCCCCTTGTCCAGAGTTTTCTCTACAAGAGCTCGGTACCAGTATCCATCTCGGCCCTTCACGGCACACTGCTTGTATATAAATATCTCACTTGGATCAAGGGTTTTGTTTCTGGCTTCTATGTGGGTCCTGTCAGAAAATAGCTGCTTCATTAATAATAAATAAGATCTTTTGACAGGGAGCCCACGTCACAAAGTGTGGTTTTCAGTGAGGCCCTGCATAAATCTAACGTAAGGATAACAGAATATATAAATATGGTTATCAAGAATAGGATAAAAGGGTATAATCAATAGAAGAGACTACATATTTTTAACAAGACGTCTAAAAACTGAAAAATCGGAAATGTTCCTAATGCCGTCTGGGAGAGCGTTCCAGTCATCTACTGCATGACAAACAAACCGATGCTGACCCCATGTACGCTTTGATTGTGGTTTACAAATGTTGTTATTAAAACGAGTGTTATAATCATGTATATCTTTAAAATGATTAAAATTAAAATTCCAATCAATTAGTCCATTCAAGGACTTAAAAACCAAAAATAGACGATGTGATCTTCGCCTTTTTTCCAATGTATCCCAACCAAGTAGATCAAGAGCTTCTGTTGCTGATGAATGCTTTGGCATATCTAAAATTAATTTAGCTGCTTTATTCTGGAGTAATTGGATCTTGTTCATCAGAGTGGTGTTGGATTTATCCCCCCAAGTCACATCTGCATAATCAAGGATTGGCAGCACCATGGCTTTTACAAAGAGTTCCCTTGTATTTCTTGGCAGAAGATGTTTTATTCTCTGTAAAACGCCAAGCCTCTGAGACACTTTGGTCTTAATGTAATCCACATGATCAGTCCAAGACAGATTCTCATTGATAATTACGCCCAGATACTTGAACGAATTGACTCTGTCTAACTCCTTCTCCTTGATTATTAATGTGAATTCTTCTAAGGTGTTAAGTTTCCTTGGACCGCCAATGAGCATGAATTTAGACTTCGAGATATTTAGTGTAAGTTTATGCTCGTAGAGCCACTGAGCTAGCCTGTCTAGATCCTGATTCAACATGGTCTGTAGGTCACGGGCTGATTGAGAAGAGCAGTAGATAGCAGTGTCATCAGCGAATAAGGTGACCGTAGTGTTCCGAAGGACCTTGGGTAGATCGTTGATGTAAATGGCAAATAGTAATGGACCGAGAATAGATCCCTGACGAACACCAACGGAAACCTTCCGCGCAGGAGAAGAGGCTTGACCAATCACAGTCTTCTGGTAACGAGAGGATAGGTAGGAATGGAACCACTCCAGATTCTTGCTGCGTAATCCTAGAGATTTGAGCTTCCCGAGTAAAATGACATGGTCAACGGTGTCGAAGGCCTTCTTCAGATCAATAAAAACTACACCATTTACTAAACCTTTATCCATATTACTTAGCACTTCATCGGTAAACTGCGTTAGAGCTAAAGCGGTAGATCTTGCACGTCTAAAGCCAAACTGGTTCACAGCAAGCAGATTGTTGGAGTCAAGGTAGCCGTAAAGTTGAGAATGAACAGCTCTCTCAATTACTTTACTGACCGTGGGCAGGACAGAAATGGGACGATAGTTATCTTTATCGGACTTATCACCTTCTTTGAAAAGAGCAGTCACTTTCGCACATTTCCAAGATGATGGGAATTGACCCTTCTCAAAAGAGAGGTTTATGATATCCCGCAGAGGTGAAGCAAGTACATTTGCTGCATCACGGAGTAAACGTGCACTAATGCTATCTAGTCCTACCGCTTTATTGGTTTTCATTAGGCGCAGCTGCTTTTCAACAAAGGCTGACGTCACATACTTGAGAGAGAACGATAAGGTAGGAACTGCATCGTACTGAGTCGGTTTTAAACCACGAAAGGCCTTTGCAAGGCTCTTGCCGATGCTTGAAAAGTGATTGTTTAGAGTTTCTGCAATGCCTTTGGGGTCAGTCTGCAATTTTCCATGACCAAAAACTGCATTAATTTCATTGTGGTTAGAGGGAAGTGTCTCTTTAATTGCTTTCCACATCTTGGAGCTGTCACCTTTAGCATCTTCTATCAGCCGACAATAATATTTCGATTTCAGCTTCTTTTCCTCGCTATTCGCACAGTTCCTCAATTTTCGGTACATTTGCCAGTGATACTGCGAGTTCTTACACTTCTGAGCCTGTTTCCAGTGGTAATCTCGATCACTCCGAATTTCGAGGAGTTTGTTCGTAACCCACGGTGTCTTTGTCCCCTTCACACGCTTTGATTTTATCGGAGCGTGGTCGTTTGCAATGCTATTGAAAAGACCTTCCCAGAGGAACACGGCATCATCAACATCATTAGCACTTTCGATTATGCTCCAAGGTAAGTTGCTGAGATCACGCAAGAATGCTTCTTTGTTGTAGCTTTTAAAACAACGATACTCGAGCAACTTTGGTGGAAGTTTCTTTACACCTCCCTTGATAGTACAGAACACAATGCTATGATCGCTGATGCTTGACTGCAGAACATCGGACTGTACGACCCTGTGAGTGTTGTTAACGAACATCAAGTCTATCGTGGTGCTAGAATTCTCAGTGACCCGAGTAGGTTTACAAATAATCTGAGAAAGACTGTGTTGTAATGCAAATTCATCAAGTTTACGGCGTAACTGATTCTTGGTGGAATAATCAATATTAAAGTCACCCACCAAAACAATATCGGAGTTTTCAGTGTCGATGTAATTTAGCGAATCAGCTAGATTTGAAATAAAACCATCGATGTTCCCATCATCAGGTCTGTAAGAACAACACAGTATCATTCGTTTGCATTTAGGTCTCTTGATTTCCACCCACAGACATTCAAAGTTATGCTTTATGAGATCAGACATAACGACAAAGGGGATTCCATCCCGGACGAAAATTAAAACTCCTCCACCACAACTTTTGGTCAAACACTGTCTATCCTTACGCACAAGCGAGTACCCTGGTATCGTGATCTCATTGTCCAAAATATTTGGAGCTAGCCAGGTTTCAGAAAGAGTCAAGATGTCGAAGGAGTGTTTGTGGACGAGTTCCTTTACATGATCGAGTTTGTTTACCAAACGATTAACGTTTAAATGAGCAATCTTGAAACCCCGTAACATGCGAACGTCAGAATGAAAATCGTTATTGTCTGACCGTTGCTGAGTAGTAGTATTGCAATAAGAGTCATCTAAACAGTCTATGCCAGGAAACAGACAAGTAAAACACATCCAGGTAGAAGATTCATTAGTTGCGAGAGAATAATATTCATCAACGCCCATGTTCAAGCATTTAGCATGGTGCCATTTGTCGCAACCGTCACACTGAATAGCTCTTTGGTTTGAGCGACATCCTTTAGAACAAATAGCACACGGATCTTTCACCGGACCGGGGTTGGAGATGTTGCAAATAACAATACTAGGACAAGAGACGCGCTACACCGAGAGAGCCAACCGATCGCCATTGTGATATCGCGCTTTTTCCTTTTTCCTTTCATTAATAGCACTCTTTCACTGCTAAACGAACTCGATCAAGAGACGAGGAAGCCAGGAGACTGACTCCTCCACATAAACCTCTATTGAAAGGGGAATCATCTACTTAAGACCCTACATATCTTTCGTGAATAATGCTGCGCGCATTTCGTGTGGTGCTCCGTCATTCCTTTGGACTCATTTTCGCATGGGCGTCCGAAGAAGGCTTGGGAAATAGGAAAGACGCTACTCCCTGAGACACGGAACAAAACACAGAACTGCATGGACGCGTTTGAAAAACCCTAGCACGGAAAATGCTTACCCCATGCGCACCATGGCATCCACGAAGGCATCTTCCTCCTTCCTTGCCCGAGTAACTTTAGCCCAAAAAGTGCCACTGTCTGTCAAGTTCTCTTGAACTATAATAGAATGTTCTTTTCCTACGATAAAGACAAAACGTATAAACATATATCTAGGAAACAATTCTTTTTTTCCTAATTCAGATGCAATCGTTTCGCATTGAAAAGTGGCACAGATCAATCCTATGAGCTTCTTTGATGGGCTTTCCACGTATAACACTTTCTCGGGTATTGAGGTATTTGCCAAACTCTCACAACCATCCCCCCCCACCCCTCCTTCCTCGGTCCGAAGATGCCCATACGCCTATGTTTACGACAAGAGTGGTACTCTCAGGCCTGTTTAAAATTTTAAAACTCATGTAAAAAGTTACAAGGCTGTGACTTCCAAACCTATCTCAAGGGGTACGTAGTCAGATATCACTAATTCCTCTGAGCTCTCTTGAGACAGTAGTTCTGGTGACAACAAGCACCCTGAGGCCACTTCTAGACACGAGTCGCTATCAGTCATTCCTGCAATGCCTGGTGCGTCATCTGACCTGCCTGCGACAGTAACAAACTAATTATTGATGCAGAGTTACATTTATTTAATACCAATTACCGTGTTGCCGGTGAAGGCGACATATGCCTCAAGCGTGCAGCTTGACAGCAATGATGCAAAAAAAGGCAGAAAAGGAAATGATACGCAGTTTTAGCGTTTTATCACAATTACTTCAATTTAGAAGGCTACGCAACTCTTTACCTATTCCGTGTAAAACAAAATAAAGATATGACACTCTCCCGTTTTGTTAAGAAGAACGCTTAGGTTTAGATTAGATTAATAGCTCTCGATTCCTAGAACACGACAGAAATCGAGAGTGAATAACCTATTTGAAAGATATTTGTTATAAAATTTAAAAATTCATTTTAAAAAACCACAAGGCTGTGACTATGAAATGAGATCCAACACATTTAAAAAGAAAAATTTTAGAAAGGAAATGTAAAAACGTTTGTTTGACGCATCGCTCATCACCTTCCACGACTAATGATCATATCTCTAGTTGCTTCAAATATTGTTGAAGCTTGTGCGCAAGAAGCTCGTGTGATGTAATTTTTTTTGTGGGCAGAGCACTGTCAGTACACTACCCATTATCGTCGTCAGCTGTGAGTGAGTAATTGAGATTAAGAAAGAAGGCCCGTAAAGCATACATGAATTACGACATCATGGTTAACATCAAAACTCTGTGGTACACTCCACAAACCGTTCTTGAAGCAATGGATAACCCTTCACCACACGAGCCCAAAGGAACATAACGAACTGAACGCACTGCATTTCCTAGAATTAATTTCATTCTTGAAACAAAAGAAATTGATATCATTAAAAAACTCTTCTCACCATTAGCCGCAGAGGTTGTCTGAATCAGCATCGAATTGGTGGGTCCTCCAGGTTCCAGATCACTTGAACCACCGGGGTACTCTGCCATTTCGTCCTTAAGGCTGTTTTTGAAATGAGTCTCTTCATTGCCTTCGCTAAAGGGCGGCGGCTGGGCTAATGAGTCTATGTCAAGACTTGTTTTGGAGGGTGTTCCAGTTTCCCAGTCACTCCCGCCAGAGGGCCCGACCGCAGTTCCTTCAACAAGACTTGTTTTAGAAGGAGTGCCAGTCTCCCAGTCACTCCCACCTGCGAACTGAGATGCTGATTCTTCGTCAAGACTTGTTCTGGACATAGATGGCACAACTCCTGTTTGTTCTTGGGGAAGAGTCTTATCAAGAATTCCTGTTTCCAAGTCACTTGTGGCACTTGGTGGTGCCAATGTATTAACTCTTTCACCTGTCATGGGTGATGTTTCCAGAGAACGTATAGCAGAGGACTTAACTGCTGTTTCGGTTTCAACGCAAGTCTTGGAAAGAGAACTTGACGTACTGTTTGGTCCCCCTACACTCCTCTCAAGACTTGTTTCGGAGGGTTTTCTAACCTCCCAATCACTCCCATCATTGGAAAGAACAGTTTTACCTTCTATGAGACTTGTTTTGGAAGGCGTTCTAGTCTCCCAATCACTTCCATCATTCGACGGGACAGTTTTCACTTCTTCAAGACTTGTTTTGGAAGGCGTTCTAGTCTCCCAGTCACTTCCATCATTAGACGGGACAGTTTTCACTTCTTCAAGTCTTGTTTTGGAAGGCGTTCTAGTCTCCCAGTCACTTCCATCATTCGACGGGACAGTTTTCACTTCTTCAAGACTTGTTTTGGAAGGCGTTCTAGTCTCCCAGTCACTTCCATCATTCGACGGGACAGTTTTCACTTCTTCAAGACTTGTTTTGGAAGGCGTTCTAGTCTCCCAGTCACTTCCATCATTAGACGGGACAGTTTCCGCTTCTTTAAGACTTGTTTTGGAAGGCGTTGTAGTCTCCCAGTCACTTCCATCATTAGACGGGACAGTTTCCCCTTCTTCAAGACTTGTTTTGGAAGGCGTTCTAGTCTCCCAGTCACTTCCATCATTAGACGGGACAGTTTCCGCTCCTTTAAGACTTGTTTTGGAAGGCGTTCCAATTTCCCAGTCACTTCCATCATGGGATGGGACAGTTTCCCCTTCTTCAAGACTTGTTTTGGAAGGCGTTCTAGTCTCCCAGTCACTTCCATCACTAGACGGGACAGTTTCCGCTCCTTTAAGACTTGTTTTGGAAGGCGTTCCAATTTCCCAGTCACTTCCATCATGGGATGGGACAGTTTCCCCTTCTTCAAGACTTGTTTTGGAAGGCGTTCTAGTCTCCCAGTCACTTCCATCACTAGACGGGACAGTTTCCGCTCCTTTAAGACTTGTTTTGGAAGGCGTTCTAGTCTCCCAGTCACTTCCATCATTGGACGGGACAGTTTCTGCTTCCTCAAGACTTGCCTTGGAAGGCGTTTTACTTGCCCAATCAGTTGGGTCACCGGGAACTTCAGCCGTTTCCTCAGCAAGACTTTTCTCGGAAGAGGAACGATTCTTGACACTGGATCTAAAGTGAGCACGATTGTTGTTTTTACTTAACGAGTCCCTGTTTTCCGTGGGAATTTCCTTTTCACTTTTCAAGGGCTGAGAGGTTAGATCATTGGCCACTGCAATGTCTTTATTTTTAATACTGCCATCAGGTTCCTTATCAGTAGAGATGGCGTCCTTCCCAATTTCGATTTGATCAGCACCCTGGTGACTGTCAAGAGCATGACTAAGTCCATCATCACTGATATGTGTGGCATCGATAGATAAGTTTTCACAGCCACCGCTGTGAAACTCAGCAGATGCATCTGTTTTGTCTTTATCAGTACCTGACCTTTCAGAAGTTTTCAGGCTGTCTTCAATCTGATAAGAAAGTACAATAATGAGCCTTAGTCTATAATGACACAAACAAAAACTCTAAGTGTTTGGAATCAAACCAGTTTTCTCGGCATTACCAATCCCTACTACCGAACTATGGGTGCTTGTGGTGAGTTAGACAGTACAACGGAAAACAAGTTAATAAAAACAAGACCTTGGAAATTATCACAGAAATTTGTTACTATAAGTTCAATTCCCAACAAAAATTTATTCAAGGCTGGTACCATTCTATACAGTCTTGTTCTTTTGATAGTCCATTTTGCATTTGGGAAAAAAAGTAAACATGTGAAAAAAAAACTAGACAGACATTTTATGATGACAGTTTGTCACTTGAGAGAGAAGCACTCGACTTTTGATGATCCCGAAGTTAGAGAATGTCCGTATTCTACTCATTTGTGCGAGTAAGTAGTCTGAGTTTGTGTAATGGCATTATTAAAGAGGTAAAGAGCATTAAGTTACAGATTCTTATTATCCTACGACATCTAGTTCGCTGCTTGTACATGCATGTCCATAGGGTCAAAGAGGCTAAACTACATGAAAGTCTCAAGAAATAAGTGAACCGGACAAAATAAACAACGATTTGTAAGTCGGTCCAAATAAAAGAAACATCATCCTAGCCAAACATGTTGTCCCTTTTCCAGCGTTTTGAGCACTTTAGGCAGTGCAAGCCACTCATGTTTAAGTACATGTATGTACTTACTTCTTGGTCCCAGTCTTCTTGAGATGCTGGTGAATCATCGCTCAACTCTTCTCTGGTAACTCTCCACCAAGGCAGCTCAGTATCACTCCTTGGCTGTTTCTCTTTTTGATCATCTAAGTATGACTGGTGAGTTTTGATAGCATGTTGCAAAATAGAGTTGAAGTAAGTGATACTTTCATAAGCCTTCACAATGCTCCGTCCCACATCATTAGCAATTTCCAAGCCGTCTGCAGCATCCATGAGATATCTGACAGAGAAACGACTTTCAGGTTTAAACTTTATATCCTTAAATTGAAGGTTGTTTGCATATATCCACCTAATGTCGCATCTCCCAATCATCTTTCCACCAAATTTAAATGGCTCATTAAGCATAGGACAGCTCTGTGTCGGGTCAACAGACGTTAACATTTCAGCCAAACCGCAGAAGTTGACGAATTTATGTCCTGCAAACAGGAGGAACACTGAACCCCTGCCGCCTCCATTTCTCACACTGTTGAAGGCAATATTTAAGCTTCTGTTGGTTTTCATATTCGAACACCAAACATCAAACTTCATGGCTTCGATGATTCGCCTGGGGTCTGATTTGATCATTACAAAACGAGCATATGTTAGTTCCTCCATGCCAATCATATTCACAGAGCATTTGTTCAAGATGTAGTTGTACATTGCCACATCAACACCGCCAACAGGTAAGTGGTTATCTGGCACTGTGTTGCGATAATGCTCGATTGGAAACACTTTAGTGCCTCCTTCTTCCAGATGCCTTGAGACAGATGCTTTATTGACCACAAGCACAGAAGCAGGCACATCGCTGACCTGATGCTCAAAGGTCTGTAACTTTGTAGCTGCGCCCTCAGAGGGAGAAATTTCCTTGACTGAGTGTTCAGGAGTAAGGACATTTTGGCTTTCAAAACCTGCAACGTTTTCAGCTACATCCTTGAGCCCTAACATCTGATTCTCTTGATGGTCATACACAGGCACATCTTTGGCTTGGAGCCCAGAACTAGGTACATTGTCGACCTTACTCTCAGGCGCAAACAACGCTTTGGAAAATGAATCTTGCGCAGGAAGGTGCAGTATACCAGGGATTCTGGCTTGTTTAGATGCAGGCTGAGCAGATAACTTGTCTGACACTTTAACCCTTTCTGGGGATAGAGGGACAAACTCCTCAGCTTCCGGACGAAGTGCTTGCCTGCCTTCCTTTTTGCTATTAGTGATCTTGGCATCAACCGTAATTTTGTCTTTACAGGTGGCATTCTCATCAGAAACACTGTCCTCACTGACTATCTTTGCCATTGTCCCTACAACGGACACAGCATGTTCATTGTCCATCTCTTGAGCAGCATTGCATGCTGCCCCACTGTCTGCAGTCTGTGCTATATTGGGATTGATTTGAACTACAGGTGCTTCGGCATCTGCCTTTGCTTCTCTTGGCTGAACAGGACGGTTCTGAAGCAAGACAATCAATTACAAACGAGCCATCAAATCTACCGCTGATACACAATTCTTGTAAGAGCTCTGCCTTCATACAAATGAACAATTACCAGGACTACATAGGCATGAAAAGTGGGTCAATGGAAAAAAACCAATTCCACTAATTTGCATATAAGTACTTTTTGATTGTCTGTCTAAATTTATTTAATCTCATAGTTAATTTGAAAAAAAAAAAAAAAAAAAAAAAAAAAAAAAAAAAAGGTAAAGCAGCCTTTAATTGGCATGTTTGAGACTGTTTACCACTCTATCATGGTGAACCTCTCAATTCCCAGGGAAAGGAACAAAGTTGACAGTCTGCATTACTAACTGGAGGTAATAAAACTGTAATAGTAATATAAAGTAAATAAAACAAAATTGTACTTATACTATCTTCTATTTGTTGACATTATGTGGGAAAATTCAATGCACATGCATGTGTTTATACTCTCACCTCTACTGCAAGCTTTTGCTCATCCACTAAAATGATGAATACAACCAAAAAACTACACTTCAAACTCTAGTAAAATAGAATTACTACACTTACATTTGAGGAGTTGCCATGCAAGGTTTATTTAGGAACAGTACCTCCTTTATTCTTTCCTAGTTGGATCTTGCTAAAGTTTTTGATAAATTTCCTCAACAATTTATTTCAAGGAGCATAAACTTAAAACCCTCTTGTATCACAGAACTGATTTTTCAAACTGCTGTTTTACTTATGAGAGTGTCAGGGTGCTCTGAGAGACGAAGTTAAAGACCCTTTTGCATGGTCAGGGAAACTTACATAACCTTTTAATTCATTTTAGAGAAGCAGAAAATCTATCCTAACAAACCTAATTGAGCCACTTTGCTGTTGATACACACAGAATTGTCCCCACAAGTAGACAACAACACATGATAGATCACAGTGCCATTCTTATCAGTGACCTGTTGAATAATAAAAATGAATGAACAAAGATACAACCTGTAAGTAATTGTGCTAGATATTTCACCAGCAATTACATGTATATTAAATGTAGAGTAAACTGAGGTGAAAGTAGCCACCCAAAGATGGTAGGCTGCCCAGAAGTTCATACTGGCCTCCAGCTTTTAATGGAAGCTTTACACACTACCCTTCTGAAAAATGAATGCTGAGGACAGATATTACTGACATGCCCTTGTCCTTAAGAAGTGCTACACAATGAGTTATTCACATTCAAAGGCCAAAAGCCATACGATGCTTCCAGAATGTATTTCCTGAAGAGAAAAACGGTGGAGTTTACACTGGCAAAGAGTAGCATGAATAAAACTATGCCTTTTTTTCATGCTGCAATCAATTTGACTAAGCTTAATTTAAAAACAATTGCCAGAAATGAATTGTTTGTGAATCAGTCTTTGTCCTGGTGACAATGGAAAATGGAAAAAAATTTAATGATAAAATTCTTAACAATATTTCCTGCAGTGAAAAGTACTTACCTGGCCTTGAACTGCTGCCATCAATTCTCTGTTGAAGGTCAGATCTTTGAAGCACCACTTTGCCTGCAAATAAAAAATTAAAAAAGGTTAAATCTGGCCCCTAGCTGCTGTAGCCTTTAGAGGTAATTTTCCATCTCTCTCTAGATAGAGGGCTTTTCCTTTGGAGGAAGCTTCCAAGGAATTCTCCAAGTTCCCCTGGAAGTTTTTTGGTACCCGTTTCAACTCCTGGTGGAGCACTCCTAGAGAACACTGCACAAGAACACAACATGATGACCAACTTGGATGGAAAGATACAGTTGCTGAGAAGTTAATTTATAAAGCAAACCTTATCCCTTCTCCTAATCAAACCTCTGGCTACTAAGCTACAAACAAACCAACAGACAAACTAAAGATCTCCTGTAGTTTTGTGTAAAACTAAATTGAAAATCTGACAGGAATGAAAAAAAATACTGGTTAAACAGTACCAGATTAAGATTAAACAAAAGAGTATGTCAGTACATATGATGTCCATCCTATTACAGCTGCTTAAGTTATAGGTAAAGATTCAAAGTATTATATATATTTTCCACATTATTGAGAAGCAACCTAAAAAAAGCAACTTTCTCAGGAAACCCCTCATGATTTCCTTCCTTTTTTCAAAATTTTTTTCCTCCAAAATTAGACTTGCTAAACTCAGGGTGTGGCTTATCTGCCTATGTCACTGATCTCCCTAAGAGGCTTAATTGCCAGTGTGGCTTACATGCCCAACTTAAAGTCGATGCCTACATTGTTAACCCTTCAACTCCCAGATCAAATTTGTAATTCTCCTTACTGTCAACCATACATTTCTTGTAACATTAGTTCAGAAAATTTAGTATTGGATCAATCAATTATCCCCAAATTGATCTCTTTCTTTATTCTCATCACTAACTGGTTGATATTGCATGGATAATTTAAGGAGAAATTCTGTCTTGGTCACTAAAGGGAGTTAAAGGGTTAACAAAAAATACTCATTACCTCATATGGCAATTGGGTATCCAAATCTGAAAAAAGAGAAGCTTGAAATGCCTGACAAGAAGGAAAACAAACAAACAAAATCATGTAGGTTAGTTCTGTCTTCTGAAGGCTGAGTTGCTCAAAACAGAATTTACATGTACTGGTAAATTGTTACTTCACTTGAGCAATAAAGACTCATCTAAAATGTGTCCACCAATATACCTGTAAAGCATCAGACCTTACCTGATACAGGATAAATTTATCATCCAATTCACAAGAAAGTTCACAAAGAACTGAAGGTGCACATTCCTCAACAAATCCATAATCAAGGAATCGGATCTTGCACTAAAAAAGCAATAAACAAAATGTATGTTCAATATATTGCTAAGTAACTTTCAAAGTAAGCTTTAAATTGGAAAATGACTCAAGTCACCATGATTCAACAGATTTTCAATTCAATTGCTACAAGCAGTCCACTCCAAGCATTTAAAGACACCAGAATCATTTGGATTATCTGATCTCCCAATGGGAAATTGTGATTAGTAATGGGTCATGTAATAGTTTCATAAATTGGTCACCAGTAAATCAAAATCCAATTTAGTCACTAATTTTTTTGCTCTATTCTCTGAGGTGACTTAAAACAGCTGCAGCTTGGTGTGTGGACTGTGCAACATGGGGATGAATTTGAGCTGGCCATGCCAGCAAATTAACATAACATCAATAAGATGCAGTGCTGTAATTCAAGTCTATTGGACATCATCATGTAAAGTATATCTACCGAGTAACATTAATCACAATCCAACAGTGACACATTGTGTATTCCTCGAGAAGAAGAAAACTGTGCAAAAATATATAGATATGTATTGCATAATAATATATCATCCTGCAAATTGGCAATTTTTTTGTGTTTTGAAAGAATAAATTGTTGTTGCATGAGATGACCAAAACTTCTGCACAGAACTTATTTGTGTGATTTTTGTTCAAGAGGCAGAGCATTTCCTACTTTGGAAAGGTAGCATGTTCAACTTTTATCATTTATTTTGGTGAACTGATACTAACTGTAGACATTACAAACATGTTAGTAAATTCTAGTAAAGGGTACCATACTTCATATGAGGACTTTCACAACAAAAATAAAATGGAAAAAAGGCCAACTCTCCTGGGGTTTTTCCATTGGACTGTAGATGGTAAATTTGTAAATAATTTTATGATGGCATATTTTTTTCTTTTGGAACTTACTTTTGCAGATCAAGTAAAACCATAAAACTGCACCGAACACTAAAACCCACAAACATTTCCTGGCACATGGCACCTATCATATGCCCAACTTAAGCACTCAGTTGTGAGATAAACAAAGGCTATAGATAAAATCTTGGGAACTACATATGTACAGTGTACAATATGTCCACATTTGAACGATATATAGTGTAATACTCTAACCTTTTCAGGGGAAGATACACTTTCAACCCTGGTACGACAGAACTCCTTGCTTTGCCTGTTCAGAGCTGCACAGAATAAACCTTCTTTTGGTACTACAGGGTTTCCAAACCCATGCTTTTTAAAATAATTACTAGAAGAAAAACAAAAGCTCCTTATCATGAATAATACTAGCAAAGACCAATGCTCCTTAAATACACAAAACAAAATATATTTTATAGAGTATCTACATGTACATGTGACTGTGGAAAACTGAAACAGTATTCTAGTTTTTCCTCTTATTGCTCCAGTTGACAATTGTGAGTATGAGGACATATATTTCTCAACCATAATGATTTTCTCCAGATATCCCTTGCAGTTTGATTGAGAATCTAGGGCTGAAATTAAAGCCAAGAAAGAGGCTACTTAAGATCCATCTAGTAGAATTAGGAGTTCAGGAAATAACTCTTTACATCTAAACAGTGTTCGAGGTACTGGCAAGGAGAATATGTTTAACAGTCAAGTGCTTCTTCAGTTGTGATCATTTCCTTTGCTCTCATGACCTTGTTGCTTGATTCAGGATTAATATTGTTAGGAGAAATTAGATGTTAGTCACTCTTGGCAGTCAAAGGGTAAAAGAAGTAGTCATACTTTATGGCCATTGCAGTCTCCTTCCTCGTTTCCATTGCTGGTTCTCCTGTCTTGGAAATCCAAAAAGATCCATTTCTGGCCAATGATCCAATTATGCTGACTGGGAAAACATCTTTGCCTTCAAAAAATTAATAACATATATAAAATTATTCCATTATCTCTTGATTAAGTCTCTCTCTCGGATAATTTGAAAATAACAATAATAAAACATTGAAGAGTCAACTGTACCTTCCATCTCCTTACTGAGTTGAACTTTAGGTTCTTCAGGCACATCTTGTTTTTCACTGCCAAGTGGTGTCTCCTGTGCAGGGATAGGAGTTGGCTGATGGGGAGAATTTGACTCAGAGCTGTCTGGTTGCTCCTTAGGCACTGCTGCATCAGCATCAGCACCTGCTACAGCTTGATTACGTTTGCTGCTACTTCTTTCATCTTGAGTACTACACTGTATTAGCATGCTGGACACCTAAAAAAAATTAAAATATACAAATTTGGACAAAAATAGACTTGATAATGCACTCCCAAGTGAATAACACCACAGAGCAAAAAATAAATAAACCTAAGCACTACAGCAGATAGAGGCTTGTTATAGGATCAGACAGTTTATCAAATGTACATATCCTGCATACATAAAGCACTAGACAATTACATCAAAGGTATTGGACAGTTACATAATGGTTCAGTGATCAGGAATAAATTACAAAGTAACACTAATGAAATATAGAGACAATAAAAAACTGTCAATGTTGTGGGTGGGAAGGAAACAAAATTTTCTTAAAAAGCTAGAAATAAACTTATTACTTGCTTGCTTGATTGCTAACAACACGCACAGATACCTAATTGGTAATGTACTAAAATAATTTTGCAAATAAAATACATGATGCATAGCCATTGGCTCCATCTAAGTCCTATGACTTGTATGCTGAACAAATTGCTCAATCTTAAGGAAAAGACCTAATATGTGTAACCTGCCTGTATCCAGTCTAGCCTATTCAAATTTATTTAATAGAGATTAATATTCTCAATAAAAGCTATCTACTACTACAACCTATCAGCTCTCAAATTTATTTGCAAGCTTTTCTTCCCAGCCAAAAATACATTCACCAGATCATTTTTGACTTACTGTAATTACATGCTTAACAAAGATCTACCTTAACATGTATATTCAATTGCAAATCTTGCAGAGAGTGCAATCAAAATGAAAGTTGTATTACCTTTGCCAGATACTGAAAGGCTTTTTCAACTGCTCCTGCACAACCTCTTATTTCAGCAACTCTCTTTTTGGTAGCTGATTGCATTTGCACCAACTGGCTTAAGGTTTCCTGCGAGCAAAATTAATTACAGTCCAGAGCCACCTAAATTTTTCATTAATCTAAGGAAGCCATAAACCATAAGTACATATCTTTTCAAAACCTGGGAGGAAGATAAATACTAATAATTTATGCTAATCACAGCTTGTTTGTAAAAATGGGGGTCGCTGAGGTAGTTTTTGAGTGAGATCATTGAGGATTTTTTGTTTCTGTTTGTAAACAGTAATATATTAGACAAACTACCTAGTTGTAAAACAAGTCTTGCGTCACTGGCAGTCACTCTGTTAAGAGACAAATAAAATTATACCTTCTCTTCTTCTTCTGTGTACTTTAACCTTGTAAGCACACTCTGAAGCAATTCATTCTCCACCTCAAGTAACCTGGTTGAAAAATGTCATGAAACAGAAAAGTTCTCCATCTTTGCAAGACAAAAAAATGCTTTTCTCTAAAAAAAAAAAATTGATTCAAACCTAAGAGATGTTCGCAAGAATAAAAGTAAACCCTTCTTGAAGTACAATACTACGTTGATAAACCCAATTACCATGACAACATACATGAAAAATCTTTTCATATCAATATACAAATGGCATGTTTACTTTTCAAAAAAGAAATTCCAGTATTTATATATAAACAAGATTTTCTATACACTGCTGAGCCTACAGCCTTTGTGGGGACAAAATAATATACATACTTTTCGATGTCTTGGACATCTTGTGACAATCGTCGTTGTTTCCGCTAAGGAAGAATTATACCCATCTTTCATTTCTTTGATTGTAATAGTATATGCAAAGCCTATTACCATGCTTTTTTTGTACATGCAGCCTCAAACTTAATTCAGGAAAAGTGATACCTTACCCTAACTCATTCTGTTGTTTTTAAAACCAGAACTCAGCTTAGAATTACTTCCTCTTTATGTGAACAACCAGACAAAATGTCCAGCCATCCAAGGAGTTGACCAGACAAAACCTACATTTTATTTCTAGCCCTGCATGGGGATTGGCAAAGTGACCACTTAATACAAGTCAACCTACAAATTACTTGCATGATGTTCGTGCCTAACAATTGTCCTATAGGTCCAAAAAAGACAGATATTCTGTAATGCATTGAGGACTTTAAACTCAAAGTTCTAAAATTGATTCATGGAGATTAAATTGGAATATGTTTTAGCTGAGAGATTACTCTTAATTTTATTCAAGTGGTCCAGCTTTAAGTGTCAGCTCAATACAAGTAGAAGACAATACAAACATGCCATTGGGACTCAGTCAAGGGTAACCACAACCACTTAACCCTTTACCCCCTAACATCAGTATCCTTACTCTCCATACTATTCACTAAACATTTCCTGAGGTGCTGACAAAGAGAATTTGTATAATAATCAAGAGCTGCTTCAGTTGGTGATCATTTCCTCTATTCTCATGACCTTAAAGTTTGATTCAAGGGTGATATTGTAAGGAGAAATTAGATGCTAGACACTCTTAGGGGTTAAAGGGTTAATAGAGGTGAAAATGTCAGAACTTAGCAAAAAAAAAATGCTTAATGCCAAGGAACTTGATACAGGTTTGACTGTATTACTGTAATAAAAATTTAGATGCCTTACCATGACTTCTATCTGTTCATATCTGTGTGCCTTGAAAACATCCAGGCTGTGCACTTGAATATTACATTGAGGACACAGACAGATAATACTCTCTGTAAGATAAAAAACACATATTTCACACACATGTAGCTATCATTAAAACAGTGTCTCCTGATTTCACATTTATCCTGAAACAGAGGTACAAAATATATAGTAACACTAGTACATCTACTAAATCCATGTTGGCACTAGCTAATCCTGCTTCAATCAGCCTTTCAATTGTTTACAACCTAAAGGACCAGGTTTAACTGGATTTAATATATGCTTAGATGGCAAAACTCATATCCCAGAACAGCAACCAGACAGATTCTGGATATTACTTTTCTAAATTTTTTCTGTCAACAGCCATTCAGATTTAAAAACCATGAGATAAGTGTTGACCTGAGCATGTGTCTCTAAAGAATTACAAAATCCAGAGGGTAGTTTGGCAGTAAAACAAGATCATACATCTACATTTGAAGCTGAAACCTTGTCAGTTAAAAGATGATGCAAAACGTTGAGCGACATGTAACAAAGAGTTAGTCTGTTGACCTTATTCACTCGCATTCAGGTACAGTGTCATGGTAAGTTACCCAGAAGGCTTACATCTTTCATGCATATTGGTTCAAGTCTAAATTCTTTACTAATGTTGAAGCTTAATTTCTAAGCGCGAAGATGTTAAGTAATAAGTCTAAAATTTTATTGTCAATTTGTTTTTCTTTGTTTATTTGTTGTTTTTTTTTTTATCCCTCTTTAACATTGTACTCGTTATTACTACTGTCATTATAATCTTTACCGGGCGCAAATCACGTGCCATGTGTTTTCTACACCATAACATGTTTACACGCTTTGTTTGCATTGATACAGGTACATAGAACTCTAGTGGAAAACAAATCTTTCCAAATGTGCTTACAGAAAGGAATTTTAGGAGATGAACTCACCATATTTGCAATCAAAACACTTGAAATCCGCTCGCTTCTCGGGATGATTGTAGCACACAGGCGCAATAAGCGACAAGCTCGCAGCGGCCATGGCCGCCAACTTCTCTCAAGAAGCTAGTTTATGTGACCTTCTTTAGCGTTTTCTCAAGAAATAAAACTTAACTGCTGTCACGAAAATAACTTGCATACGAGAATTCGCGCTAGTCTCACTGACAACCCAATGAGAACCGACTGGTGATTACTTTCTCTTGTTACGCATGCTTCGAAGTCTCGCGCGTTTTTCTGCCCGAAGATGACGATTCTTCGCCTAAATCTTCGGAAAAGTCTTCGCCAACGTTAAAGATTCCCGACGCGACGAGTACTCGTTGCTATGGTGGTTCAGTTGCTACCATGTCCGCTGGTCGAGAGGAACGAGTGCTCGTCAGTGTTGATATCGACCAATAATGGTCAATAGTGCACAATCATCGTTTATAAAAAAAGAAAGCTTAATTATGCCGTCGATACCTCGACAAATTCTTCTCAATATTCTCAGCAAGTGAAGACTACACAGAAGCGAGACGATGACAATTTTTTTTCTGCTTGATTACTGGTTGTCACTATTGAGTTTCTTTAGTATATTTGCATATTTGTATCTCGCGTGTTGCCACTTGGGTGACGCAGAACAAAACAATTGTTTAAACCGAACAATGGCTCACCATAAAAACCTATAATCGAAAATAGAAGAGACCACCTTTTAGGCTTAAAAATTTGCATTCAAATAGGTAGTATTTATGTCATTGTTCCGATAAGCTCGCGCGGTCTTCTGGGTCTATTGTTAATTAAGTCATACGGATAATTGAGTATAATGTATTTATTAGTCAATTGTCGATCCAGTTGAATCTGAGTGCTTTAGTAGATTATGCCTTTGTAAGATCACGCTTTAAACGGCGGTGAATCTCGACAGCGCACTAAAATGAGAGGAACTAGGAAATCTACGCTTATGACTCCGGATCCATACCACATACCGGGGTAGGTAATATCTGGCAGGATTTTATAATCTGTCGCGCGCTGTGCAAATCGCTTACTCCTCGCAAATACTTTTAAATAGAATACGAACTTCATTTTTGCCAGCGAGAATTTATGTCTTTATGATTGCTTTGCTTACGCAGTTATTGCGGTTATTGCCCACAATTCAAGTACCAAATTGGCGAAACTTTCGGAAGAACAACCTCTCAGCTTTTGACAACATCTAGTGTGGCTAGCTCCGGCAGGCCTGTACTGTCCGACATAACTCCACATCCCCGACCGCCGAAGGACAACAGGAGATCTTTGATAGCGGCGCGTTGCAAAAATCTCGGCGATCAGAAATTGTGCGATGAAATGGTGCCAAACTACACAGGTAGGAAGTAGAAGCGATGTTTTTTCTTACTTTAAGCTCTAACACATATCCTAGAGCTATGTTTTGAAGCGATTATCTAATCGTATATTATAATCCTTGGTACACAAACGAGTGTCAAAGAAGTTTATTGCGGTTTGCTTTGCTAAAGAAATGAAAACAAATCGCTGCTTGTGGAGGGATTCGTGAAAAGATGTTGAAATATAGTGATATTTCATGACAAAATCTAGAACAACTTTTATCCCTTCCGCTATAAACGATAGAAAATAAATTGAAAGAATTTAAAGGTGACAGGCACGAACACAAGAGTAGCGAGGGCTTTATTCTCGTTTAGAGAAGGAGCAGAAACACCAGAAAGGCCGACAATGTTCAATTAAAAAACTTGAACCGTGTCTGAGCCTAGAAAAAGTGGTTTGAAATCATTTAATTCGTTTTCGAGAGATATGGAAGAATCAGACGTCCCAGTGTTTTCCTGTCTTGTGACTCGTGTGGTGAATAGTTTACAGCTGTAACCAAGGGAGCAGACGAGTCTCGATTTCATGAGCTTTAAAATTTATGTAATGTATGCGTTGCCCATCAGATAACTGAATATTGCGTTACCTTTGTTTGTCATATTATGATATGCCGCTGGAACATACACCAGTTTAGGCATAACAGAATCAACATCGGATAAAATTGCTTTTTTGGTAATCAACGTACTCGTGAAAGGAACAAAAAAAAAAAAACAAAAAAAAAACATATATATAAACATATACTAGGGAAATTTACATAATACGCGGTAAACTTAAAAACTTTAAAGTTCAGCTGTTGCGTAGCAACGCTTCGTTTCTGTGTCGGCATGAAGATACGGGTTTCCTTATATTGGTGATGGAAAAATGAATGGAAATATTATACTACTTTAAGCCATTCGATAAAAAAAAATTATAATAGCCAGGTTGATCATTTCTTATTCCTTTTGGCGGTCTCATCTTGGTACCATTTCTTTGACCTTTTTCTTATTGTGGTTGTGGAAGAAAAACCAGGAGAAACCAGGCTACCAAAAGAAAAGCCAGGAAAACCAAGCAAAACAGCAAAATCAAAGAACATTAAGGACTAGTGACATTCAAGGCCACTGAAGGAAACAACAGAAAAGCCAGGATAGCGGGAAAGTCAACACTTACTTGAAGGTTGTTACATAACAGCAGAGTATACACAAAATTCGAAGATTACACATTCGTTTACCCCTTAAATCACCTCTAAGAAAAAGAGGTGTCGAACGTGTTAAATTAAAAACTAAAAACTATTTTCCTGATCGGGAATTCGACAAGGATTCAGCGTAAAAACGAGAGTATTAAATGGATAAAAGTATAAAGGAGGGTTATTTCCAGGAAAGTCCTGTACGGGATCAATTTTTATAGGGTAGAGTCATTTTCTTGGTACTTAATTATTTTTCTTAGCAACATAATGAAAATATACCGGTAACTAGCTGCAAACCGCAGCTTACGCAGAAACATCTGTCTCCATGTCAAATTCACAACCACAATAAGAAAAAGGTTAAAGAAATGGTACCTATATAAGACCGCCAAAAGGAATAAGAAATGATCAACCTGGCTATTATAATTTTTTTGTATCGAATGGCTTAAAGAAGTATAATATTTCCATTCTTTTTTCCATCACCAATATAAGGAAACCCTTACAATATTTCAGATTAAATATAGTTCTATTTTTATTGTTTAGCAGGCTTAAACAATTTCTTAAAGCGCTTAAGAAGATTTTTTTTAGCTGTTAAAAAGTTACTTCAGCAAAAAAATTCAGGTGTATCTGTAATGATATTTGCCCACTAAAAAGGGCAGATATTCCGGCTTTAGTATTGCTCTTAGTCAAACAAATAACTGAATTTGACCGAAGGTTTTAACCTTCCCGTGTGTATCAGAACTTGGTAAAATAGGCTTGTAATGAAGTGTGTCGGTGCAAGGTACCTTAAGAACTTTCAGTTTCCTCAATCCTCTCTTTTATCGAGAAGGAGTTAAGGACTCCAGCCAGAGACACGAGACTACCGCGGTAAATGATTCGAGTATATTTAACAACAATTCACCGAAGTGAAGGTGGCTAGTGGTGGACAGTTACCAAGCTGCAAAGCGGCGAGGTAAATACTCATTGCCAGACGACTCTGAGGTGGATAGTTGTTTTAGTATATACTAGAATAGTGTGATAACGTAGCAAAAAAAAGTTGATTTTAATTCGTTTAGTCCTGCGACAATTAAATTATTTTCGAGCATAAATCCCGTGTGCGCTGCTTGAAGGTGAATAGCAAAGAATATTCGGATCTTAAATCGCCAATCAGAGCGCGCCTTCCGCAATATTTACTCCTAATTGTGTACTAAATGAGTAAATAAAGCGGTGCCGCAAATTTCTAGCAAACGCACGCGGATGACGTGACTTGATATGCCACCGAGAGTTTTTTCATATGACAAAAAAGTAAGTTGCAGATGGAGGTACGTTTGGGCCCCGTACCCACCCCACAAGGGACACAGGGAAATGTTTTCGTCGTCCCCTCGCCACAATCCCCCGATGCGCGAAACAAAAACCCCACCCATTTGGACATGCTCAAAGCCATCACAGCATTGACCTTTCCCCCTTTTTTTGATCATCAGGTTATATACCAAAAGGAGAGCATTACTTTGGAAAACCTTACGCAGACACGTGTTTAAGCGCCATTGCAAGTTTCCAGGAAGACCAAGTGAAAAATAATCGTAAGATCCGCGACCTAAGAACAATCGCAGAGTTGCAAAAAGGCAAAGACGTTCCCAAAGAAATGCTATCCAGTGATACCTTGATTACAACCAAGTACAAGACTCCGCTCAAGTCAATAACTATTCGACCTAAGGCGTATTATTCCCCATTCGCTTTACAACATTCACTTTCCCCATTCATAATGAGTAACGACGACCCGAAGAAGTTCCTCATGTCGGGATACACGGGATTCGTCCCGCGAGCTAGGGGCGAAATGGGAATGGGCTATCCCCTGTTGACGAATAAAGCGCTGTGTGATTTCACGGTTGAAAGTGACAGGCTGAAGCGTGTCAAGGAGCTGCCGATAACTGTCGATCGACCCGAGATCAAAATCGTCGACACCAAGCCGATTTACATCCGAGGTTCGGGACAGGTCCCTCATTACACTGGACATGTGCCAGGTACAGTATCCATTCTCTACCAGTTTCCCTGAAAATAGGATTTCTTAAGGCGTTTGTAACGCCCGACAACTTTAAGTCGTACAGAACAACACTCTATTATATCCTGCTGCTTAACGAACAAGTATGTTGATATCTAAAACCCATTACTAGAAGCAAAATTACATTGGAATCGCTAAAGCTCGTTAGATCTGCACATCAAAGAAGATCGCGCATATGAAAATGAAGCAGCAAAACAAAAAGCAAATTGGCGCCGGCCGAAACTTCATAAATGTCCAAAAGTTTGAAAAAACTCTGAAAAAACTTTGAACTCTTTCCTAACAAAGCTCTCTTCATCAGTGAGAGATCTGGGTGCGAGATTAATGACAGATTTCCCTTTTCTCGTAGCTCGCTGGAAGAGTTTACTGAACGTGTCACTTTTATTTGGTTTTCAGGTGAGAAATTCCGTTATGGGATGACATTTGGGTACAGCACCCAGAACGCAGCGCCTATGAAAGCCCTGACCGCCTAAAGACTTAACTTTCTGTGTTTATGCAATATGTGTATGAAAGAATTTTGGTTAAAACTGAAGAAGTAATGAAGATAGTACCAAATATCTTATCGACAGCCGTGCAAGTTTAATTCAAAACATTTATTTTGTATTCACGCAAAGATCGCTATCATTTGGATAATCTGTTAATGTCAATAAAAATTTTAATAAGGAAAGGCTGGCAGTAAGATTCTGGGATATTGGTCTTGAAAGAAATTGTTTCCCTTCTTCCGATGCTGGAAGAGGAAGAGAAAAGAGTCCTTTTGGCCTCGAGCGCCGTCGAGTGCCCAAAGAACTTCGTGTCACGTATGTTCAGGCCAGTTTCCTTATAAAGTATCAAATAAAACAATCTGATTACAGGAAGCCGACTCCCTTTCGACAGATGGAATTAGACTCAAACTCATGCTAAAGTGAATCTGATTTATATTACCAATTTAAAGAAAACCTAAAATGAATGAGAACCAAATGTTCAAATAGAGCGGAGGTTTATCAACGTCCAGTTCCATTTTGGCATTTGACACCAATCAAGGGTAACTCATTATATGATCTAAACACCTTATGAGGCCTTTGTGAGTCGGCATTTGAGAGACTCTCGATGGGAGTGCCGTAAGTTTATGAGCCCTTTTTGAGAAATAGTCTCAAATTAGTCCTGATCTCGAGCTCTATAAATTTTCATTTACGTGTCAAAAATAATACTAGATTTCGTTGGTTTCCAGTACTTCACTTCACCACCTGAGAAACGTCTCTCTCCCACCCCATCAAATTCTTTACTGAGATCAACCGCGACTTGGCTACCAGCGTTTTCTCGCACTTCTGGCACTTGAATTGTTTCACTTGAAGTTCCCAATTTGTTCTGATTCGCTGACAGAAAAACTGTTTTGGTTTAACGGACCACAATAGAAAAGCACTATTTGCACCATTAATGTAAACCATGGTAGTTTTTGGCCTCGTGTACCTACAGTTTTTCCAACGTTCGATGTTGCGCGCGATGGTGTATCATGAAACAGGCATTCGAGTTCCCTGTTCGGATGAAATTGAAAAATATCGCAGAAGAAATAGAAAATTTAATGTGATGTTAGTAAGAATTCGCAGAAACAACTTTCTTACCCGCATTCATCGAATAGACAACACTTACAGCTTGAAAATGATCTTTATTTCACAACAAGTAAATTTATTACAGCCAAAAGCAAGGAATGATAAAGAGATGTTTGTTTTTTATGGTTAAATTAAAATGTCTTATTAAAAAAATTTGTGAAGAAGACCTTTCGTGTGAGCATGGAGACATGGCTTGGAATCTGCTTGCAGCCTTTACCTGTCGCATATTTAATCATTTCTTGATTCACCTTAGTCAGCATTGTCATCAAGTCGTCCTTGTGTGAATTTTCCCGTAGAACTCTCATTAATGTGAAGATGAACCAGGAGCCGAGCGTTTCACTGGGTGGTGCACTTGCTGTGGGCATGGTGAACCTCCTGTATGACTTGTAACCCGTGGTGGTAGAGTAACTAATCAAAAAATCTGCATCAGAAGGAAGCGTCAGAGACGTTCTCTCAGAAGAAAAGCTATCAGCAACAACATCGTCGTCTTGCGAACTGGCTGCATGCCGATACCCTCTATCGTCGACTATTCCTCTGCATGCTTGAAGGAAGAATAGTTTAGGTTTTCCCGCTAGCTGTGGACACGATTCATCGCTACCACGGAATTTAGAGGTTATTTCGTCAACTGGAATGGTTTCACCGTTCTTGCACTTGATTCCTCTGTCATCGCCGTGACTCATGATGATGCATATGAGGCCGTCATGTTTACCTGTGCAATGAAATTATTCGATTAGAATTGAATTTGTAACAGCTCTTCTTATTATTTACATACCAGACCTTACAAAACAGGAGCCCGAATTAAAAAATAACTTTGTCATTTGCTCTCGTCCTTTGAGGGCGGAGAGAGCATGTGCTGTAAGGCTTCGACGGCGATAAGTGACTGAACCTCGTACAATGATCTCCTTTCCATTTTAAGGAGAGCATGTTGCGTGACAAGACCAAACAAAGGCAATGGAGTAGACGCTCATCGGATCAGCTTCCATCGCTGAGAGCAAAACAGGTAGAAATTCGGTGTAAAGCCACTTACCTGATTCAATACTTTTTCGAGTTTCGTCAAAAGCTGCCATCATCTCTTTTTTTTCCAGATCGTAACGCTTCTCCACAGACTCGAAACCAGCTTCTCGTAAAAACGTTTCCACGTTTTCAAGATCGTGTTCGGCTCCATTCCTTGGTACTGGGTCTTCTTTAAAGTTCACGTTGTTTATCACTAACACATACGGATTCTGCACCCCTTCGTAGACTTGATCCTTTGGCAGGTCTTTTACACGATTGACGTTTCGACTCGTATCTGCCATTTGAAGAGTGGGTGTCAACTGAATCGAATCATCGGCATCATACGCCTTGCCTGTAAACACGAAAACGAACGCGTTAATATTTGTTTAATTTTCTGTGAATAATTCAAAGTTTACTCAGTTTTATTTCACAAAGCCTTTTCAAAAGGACTTGAAAATGGAAGGCCAGTAACAGTTGAAGGTGAGAACAACGCTGCTCAAAGTTAGGGCGAGAACATCCTGACAAAGAGCAATCTTTTTGTGCGTTTTCTCACATTGAGACTGAACACATCAATTAATGTTTACTTCGGTCAGTTGGTTCAACATCACGGATTGAGATGTCAGTACGTATTTTGCACGGTTAGTTGAAAGAGGCATTGGATCTTATGACTAAAAAAAATTAAGGACCGCTTCATAATGCATCTTGATTGGAATCCAGTCTGAAACTTACCGTGACGGGCGATTTCCTCCCGGAGATCTTCGCTCACACCGTTACCTAAATAGTTAAACAAAACGTTGCCCATTGTTCTGTAGTTTGATTCACCTACAAATTCTGACTATCCAGCGTGAACTCTTGTCCTTAAAAAGCCAAGCCTTCTTACGCAAATCCAAAGATGAAAGGTTTGCAGACCGGAAATCCAAAGCGCATTCTTCCTTTTTGGGTTAGCTACTATTGATAAAAATTGTGTTATTGAATAATTTACGTCAGTGTTGCCGAAGCATCTGAATATAACTACGTATTATAGTTTAAAACCATCGTAAGTTTCATTTGAAATCCTTTTTCTTCACAACATTGAATGGTTTTTTTTTATTAAAATGCTTTATGTTACCCTGAATAATGATAATCTCGGGCGTTCTTGACGGTCATTTGGCGAGTCCATTTGTTTGATTCTCCCACACATTATTGTGTGTTATTCCTAACAAATACACGTGGCTCACATGGATAGACAGAATTTCGGTTTCAACTTAAACGAGTACCACGTCAGTGCAATGTCTTTGTAATCCTTTCATTTGGTTCGAAATTCCTTTAAATATCTCTGGAATATCCACCCACGGTTTTAAAACAACTAGATCAACTGTTGAAGGCGGTAGTCGCCTACGAGAAAACGATCAAATAAAACACCATTCGAGTCCCAAAAAAAAAAAATAAATGGATAATTATTAACAAAGATGCAAAATTAGAATACTGTTCATTTTGTATCAGGAAGTACGAAGGTCACTGTCACGCAACGACAAAAAATTTGTTCAAAGCCATTTCTGGTAGTACCAAAACCGTAACAACACTGATACGTAATATTTGAGTCCAAGAATACACTTTAAGGCGCTGCTAAATATTTCATCTATGAATAACTATTTTAAAATAGCTTCTGTAACTCGTTGCTCGACGAGAATAGAATGCTATTTATAAAAATCCGAATCAAAGAGTCAAAAAGTATTTTAGGTCCTTGATTTGTATGGATTTTTACGTATATTTATTTACTGCAAATTGTAAAACATTTATCCACTGAAGCACGTACATGGTACAGGTGTAAACAGTTCCAAAAATGTGTTAGAAACACACAGGATGTTTCTCAAGACGGGTTGGCTTCAAAACACATAACACCGAGGTATTTTTCGAAAACAAAAACTAGGCCCTGATCTTTAAATTTTCGAGACCAAGAGAGCGAGACCAGCAAACCGCTGTGATACTCGAAGAAAATGTGAGACCCCTTACTTCCGGGACCACTTTCTTTACCTATCTTAACACGTATCTCACCTTTGCAGTCGGTCGTTTTTCCTACTCCTTACGTGACTGGTGTGTCGCCTGTATTCTCATTAGCATTACGAAAGAGGTAATCGTACGGGGCCGAGTAAAATTAAGGATTAATATCACGAGTGTTTTTAGAAGTTGCATAAATTGTATTGCCCTCGTCAATGTTCTCAATTTCAAGTAATTGTGTCCTGGGAAATTACCAAAATTAATGGAGCTGTCTCAGCCGATCAGCATCTAAAATTTCCCCTGTATGTTATGTAATGGTAATAGCAATGAGTAATACTCAGTAATATTCGTGATAAACAAATCTGACGACCGGACAGCATTCCAATTTAGTCCCCAATTTAGGAGTCTGTACTAAATCATAACGCATTCTTTCGAAGTCGTGAAAATTGCTTATTGGATATTCGCGATTTGATTCATGATATACAAAGTGAAATTTTATTCCATTTCAGACTCTTTGGTGTCCTCGCAAAGAGTCATCATCATCTCTTTCAAATTAGCACGATCATGTCATCGCTGTCGACTGAGTTTTGAAATTTTTTACCTGCATATTTCATCCATCTGAATCTCAAGAACGTGCTGCAGTGTACATGGTTCATTTTCAAAGGAAAAGCTCTTTTTCCTTGTTTGCATTCAAATGAATCAAAACGGGCAATTTTCAATTACAATCAGTTTGAAATCCCTCGCCTACTGTTGATTAACTAGCACCAAAACAGTGTGCTTCTTTAAAGCGAGCTAATCAGGTGCAGAACCGAACCCAGTCCCTTCTCCGTCACACACGCATTCCCTCTCTCGAAACCTGTGGCCTTGCGCTTTTATGTTTGTTTTACGTTAGGTTGGCGGCCACTGCAATGATTTCTTTTGAACTTATTCCCTCAGGGGGGGAACTTCATTCTGATTATTGTAAATGATGACGAGGGAGAAGGTGCTACAGCCTCTGCTATGGCATTCGCTTAAGGTTAGACGTTCCAGTCTTCTCGGATAAGGACGATAAACCGCAGGCCCCCTCTCCTGCATCTTCACTGCATTGGTTGAGAGGGGACGTTAAAGAATCCACGCTCTGTTTGAAAAGAGTAGGGAACGTAGGTCTGGCTAAGTTTCCAAAAGTTCTAAAATTAGGGGCACCTGCAAAATTTCCTTTTCAAAATTGTAAACTGCTTAATGCAGTCTGGCCATAGTCCCCCGCAGGGTGTTGTAAAGCGTATTAGAGGGTAGTTATATGAAGGTTGCGCTGCATGAATGCATCACCATCATTATCATTAAACTAACATTATTCATTTTCACTCTTTATTTCAGCCCCATTGAGGTAAAAGAAAAAATACTGTGCGAGAGCTTTGGTATTTTTTTACGCAAATGCAACAACCTGGCGAGAATTTTTCCCCGGTAAAGATAACCAATAAAATGCGTTAAGTGATTCCGAAAGTTATCCCACAAACCGCTGTTCACAAATGATGAGTGATTCATGTTACATTTTTTGGTAATTTTTTCAGTTTAGAGAATTAGACATCCCTTTTGTCTCTTTCCCATATTCTGAGATGTTTCTTTCATCATCAAGCGGCGTCAAGCGACGAACAAGCTAAAAGCGGATTTATGAATTGAGTGTAATGTGCTCCACTGCAAATCATCTCGCGTCACTTCTCGAGGGCGCAATCAATTGACACTTCGTAACAGCGGTGGCACGAATTCCTTCGTTATATACTTCACTCGTCTGACAGAAGTGCAAACGGGTTTGAGGACATGACTTCGCTTTCCTCCCCCTCCTGTTCGTCATCGCCATCACTACTCGGTCTCTCATCTCTCTTGCTCCAGCCCGGAGGGGCAAGCAGATGCAATGACAGCTCGTCCACCTCGTTTTCCTGAAGTCGCAGTCGTTTGCTTTCTGAGTGTCTGTCTTGTAGAAGGGCAATCTCTTCCGTTTCAGGATGTTGCTGCCATTCATCTGTTGAGCCATAGCAAGATTCAAGATTCAGGCGTAACACCAAAAGCGATGGTGACAACATAAGCTATTCTGAACATGGAAGAGATCTTGGGCAGTAGTGAAAATAAGGCCTGAAAAAAATTCAGGCCTGCACGGAATTTGAACCCGTGACCTCTGCGATACCGGTGCAGTGCTCTACCAACCAAGTTAACAAGTCAACTGGAAGCTGGTCACTATGTTAGCTCGTAATAAACCCGTGAAGTGATGAATAATTGACTGTGTTAATATGAAAATCACATATGTGAACTGCGGGTTAAGAAATGAATATGACAGCATTCTTCACAGTAATGAGCACTACTTAAGCAGTGGGATCAATATCAGTATCTAGGCAACTGCTCACCTACCTCTCCCCTAACTCAACAACAGTCAATTGACAACAAGTTAAGGTTAATGTTGGGTTAGGGGAGGGGTAGGTGGGCAGTTGCCCAGATACTGATATTGATCCGAGCAGTGCAGTAGACTATTTTCTGATTGGCTCCTTGTGACGTCTTTGTTATTAGCTTTACCTCACTCAGGCGAAATTCGTCCGTCGTTTCCTTCCCACACTTGTCATAAGAGTCGTTTAATTGTGTTTCATCTCACAAAAAAGTTATATAGAGCCACCCACCTTCACTGGTAAACTGTGATAGGCAATTGCTTATCAATTCCATGTCATTGACACGAAAATCATTGGGGAAAAGATTCCGATTGACTTACCTCTTTTGTTTATGAAGCCTGGTGGATATACACACATAACAATCTTGCCATCCACAGCCAGTCTCAAAAGACTGTTGGCTAAGATGTAAAGTACAGAAAATAAACCAAACATTAAAAAAGTACATATATATATGTATATATATATATAGAGAGAGAGTATCGTTTCAGGATCATGTCAATTGCAGAATTTTCAAGCTAAAAGTTAAAAATTCTCTACCCTGATGCTCTTCACAAATTTTAATCGAGCGTTTAGTTGAATGGTTGACGGAGAAGCGCGCGAGAAGATGCTGCATTCTCTTACCGGCGTCTCAAAACCGTCTGTGCATCAGTTTTATGACATAGCAACTGCACCTTGCCACTGACACGCATCATAAATTCTTAGCAAGCTCTGTTTGTCTGATCTCCTTTCTAAGATTAGGTGTCTGCATCTAGGTACAGGTAGTTCAACCCAAATCTTCCCGAGATGATGTTAGCAACGCCAAATACCTGCTCGATATACATCGGGGCGGCCTGCTTTTGCTGTTAGAAAACTTCTCTTATGAGCCCAGGCTGAAAGAATCATCAAAACAAGAGCACCGTTAGAGACTTAGACTGCAGTCATGTTCAGAAAAGTTATTTAACAGCGAAATGTTGTAAGAAGCAGGTTAGATCTGGAGAGTATTCATCTCACCGTCACAAACATCCCATGCTGACCAAGGATGGTTTTCCTCTCCCACCCCTCCCTCTCCATCAGAATCAGCTCTATTTTCGGGGTGGACCAGCTGTAGTAGATCAACCAGGGGTACTCTGGCAGCTAAATACCCCACAGAGGTGTATGGTTCCTGAACTTGTGAAATAGGATACATTCCTGATAAGATCTAAGGGCAGGAAAACACGGCAACAACGTTGAGTACATCTGCTGAGGATGTCTTGACATCTGTGGCTGAATTGTGACAGCTGGGTACCAGTGAAACAAAGAGGTAAGAGGGCAAAGTTTAGGTACAGGTAGGTAATCATACGGATGGATCAGATATATCTTTCGGATAGGGTGTCTTTATCCGCTCTTTTATTCTCGATAAGAGAACAAAAAAAATTGCCGCACAGGAACTAGGGAGAGTTTTTTCTTTTATATTACTGAAGGGTTGCATCATTACCTTCCAGAATAAGTACTCCTTCTGGTGACGATACGAGCGTGAAGTACGATCGACTCGAAATCCCCATGAAACGAAATCGGAAACCCAGTAACAACTTGTCTACGTATTCATGAGTTTTAAATTCGGCTGACATAAAAGTGTACAGAATTGTGTCCACACCCTTTTAAACCACACCAGTAGACGTAATATTCGCGACTTAATTAAAGAAAATTTACTCTGAGCTACCACTAAGAGTATTTTTTAGTCCCACTTTGGGAAAGAAACGCACAACCAAAGTTATCGCAACATAGAAAAACCACAGCTTACCTGAAGCTGTTTACCAACGACAGAAGGAAACACCAATCCGGGGCAGTCACAGAGTCTCACGTTGGGCGTAAGAAATATAGTCTGAAAATGTTTGGTGTGGCCAGGCGTACGAGAGGTGCTCACAACCTGTTAGGAGCAAATATGCGAAAAAGAGCATTCGACACGTGTACGGAAGAGGTGGGTTCTACTATTTTAAGGGCCAAGACTCTAACAGAGGTCAGTTTAAATAACGTAAGGCGAAACAAAAGGTGCTCTTAACCTGTTGGGAAGAAATATACGAAAAAGAACATCCAAAACGTGTATGAAAGAGGTGGGTTCTACTATTTTAAGAGCCAAGACTCTTACAGGGGTCAGTTTCAATAGCGTAAGGCGAAACCCAAAAACGAGAGCCCGCTGGCTAAAAAGACGGCGGTGAGTGGTCGTACAGTCGGCTGCAGACCAACGGTAACTGGCTTTTATTGAAATCAGGTAATCTGGTTTCATCGACTGTATTGATCATGTAAATTGGCCACCCTATAGAGTTTCTAAAGCTGACGTTTCGAGCGTTACTACTTCGTCAAAGCGAATGGCGAAATCCCTACCCTTATGATATATTCGCACACCCGCTAAAAAGGGCTCAAAAGTAAACTTCAAAGTAAGAAAAGTACAACTTGTAGAACCCTGCTACAAACCTTGTGTCCGATGAGACCATTAAGAAGGGAGGACTTTCCAACATTTGGGTGACCTAAAATAAGAGCCGAGCAGACTTTAATGAACGCGTTGTCAGAACAATTTAACTCGTACAAGATGGCTTTGTATTTGTTTTAAGCAACTTTAATTAGGCAACGCACGCGTCGGGCGCGCTGCAAGTACAATGTACTAGCAGCCCCTTAGTATCAACTTTTCTTCTAGAACACGGCTCCACTTACCTACGAGACCCAACGTTAGTATATCTTCGTTATGCTCGACGTCTTCAAAACTACTACCTTCCTCTTCTGTCGAAACGAAAAATGGAATATATCTACTTAGAATAAAAAGTGTTAATGATTTCTCGCAAGTATAGAGGTAGTAAGCCCATGTTTTCTAAAGGGTGGATAACACTACCCACTGGATAAATCGCCATGCGATGGATAGCGCAGTTCGTTTTAATAACACATATCCGCTACATAGCGATGCGAATTACTAGTTGGCTAGCGTCATCTGTCCTTTGAAAAACTGGGCCAGCTCAAGTATAGCTGGAGATTAGCGAGCTGTTACACCCAATGGGAACCTGAAAAAGAAAGGGGTGAACCGCGCAGACTACAAGCATGTAACGGTAAAATGAAATACTCTCTGCCAGTCGCCAAACGCTGAGGAAATTAGGATAAGCTCACCCGGTATGTAATCGATTGTCTATGATCATTCAACAGTACTTAGTTGAATACACACCATTGTGAATTTATTGACTTTTGCATTTCACTGAGTAGCATTGAAGCATAGTATTGTACCTTCAGACTCCTCAGAGCTACCATAGTCATCATAAATGATGCCCTCTTCTTCTCCTTTTTCTTGCTGACTGAGTTTTCTGGCCCAGTTGCTAAAGTCAACTAAAATGAAGGTGATAGATTAAAAATATTTAACAAAAAGACAATGGAAATTGTTTCCATTTTCCACTTGCTTATTACGAAATATCGTTCGAACGACCTTGGCAGTTTGACTTTTAGTTTTATTTAGATTATGTCAATTTGGTTTCCTTCAAAATATGCAGATTTTGACTCAGAATTCCAGCTTAACAATTAAACAGCATCAAATAGCGTTAACACACTATACTCTAACATCAGTATGCATATTCTCCATACCGTTCAGAGCTGATAAGGATAATTTGAGTTTCTATTTTTGGCGATCATTTCCTTTACCCTTGTGACCTCACTGTAACGATTCAGGGATGATATTGTAAGGAAAAATTAGATGCTACTCACTCTTAGGAGTCTAAGAGTTAACAAAATTGTGGGAAAACTAAGTTAACTTAATCATCATACCTTTGTCTCCACGTAAGTTCTCACAAGCTTCAAGAAGAGCCCTTGGTCCAACAGGAAAGAAACATCTCTTGCGGCGACGGCGCTTGGATAAAACTGGCGTTGAAAACAATTCAGCATATCATCAAAAATCAATACAAGTTAAAATCAAGGTGAAATTTTCTTCAGGAGCTCATCTTTGATGATTTTAATTCTATAATTTAACACTTTTACCTTTACTTGGGTCTTTATTACGTTCATTTTCATCTTTAGGGAAGGATGTAAAGCATACAACCCTGAGCTTTTCAAACTTGGATGTGAAGTAATGCTTCCAGGCTGTTACTACTTCTGGAGGAACAAGATCTATCTGCAGCAACAAGACAAAACAGTACATCACACACAAAAAAACAAAAAACAAAATATAAAAACCAATCAAACAAAACAAAACAAAAAGAGATGTACAAAATAATTTGCAAAACTAATAATCAAAATGAACATACAGCTTTGAGTTACCATGCAGTTTTAAGTAGCTACAATTATTTTACATAGAAATAGTAGAGATGGTAAGTTTTGAGCTCAGTGAAGAAGTAAGAAAGATCTTTCTTCAGTCTTCACTGAGCTCAAAACTTACCATCTCTACTATTTCTATGTAAAAAGAGTCTTTGTGGCTCAGTGGTAGAGCATCAGAGCACAAATGCGAAGGTCTGAGGTTCGATTCCTCATGGGGACTCAGAATTTTTCTGTATCCCACGCTTGTGACAAGACGAAAAAACATCTTTCTTAATTATTTTACAATACATTATGAGAAAATCTGATGAGAAAGTTAAGCCTTTGCCCCCTATTTCACGAGCATCTACTTTCTTCTTACAGTTTCACCCTGGAATCACATGTTAAGGTTATGAGAATAGAGAAAATGATCATTAAGTAAGGAGGCCTGTTGATTGTTAAACAAATTCTCCTTATCAGTACTTTAGAAAATGTACAGAGAACAATATGGAGAATATACATATTGATGGTATGGGGTGCAGAGGGTTAATTACTTATTTTTCTTGGCCATGCAGGTTATTAGGCTTTTGCATTCATCCTGGGTTGACAAGCATGGAGCAAATCAGAATAATGCTACCTTTCTTCTGACTTGAGGAAAGTCTAGCCAGCATTTTACAAGCTCTAACGAAAAGGCTAATTGAAAGTCCAGGAACACAAATTCAGTGGACTTAATTCTATAGAATCTCTGATGAAGCCTGGTTGTTGCATAATATTTAAAAAAAATAGTGATAATGTATAAGGTGGTACATACCTTATTTAAAACCAACACTAAATCTTTCTTTAAGTCTTGCACAACATGATTGTAGACAGTTGGAGGGAAATGAAGTACCTTGAAGTATATTATTATAGAGATGTAAAATGATCATGGATATTGTTTTGAGATTGGGGATTACTAGTAACATATCAGATCCGACATTTACCCTGTTGTTTTCATTGGTTTGACCTGGTTCACCTATGGTCATTGTGTTAGCCTGATGGGTTGTATGCTGGACACAGTGGGTGGAGAAGTCCAAATTTGAGATCTGGCCAGGTCACTGTGTTGTGTTCCCGGGAAAAATACTTCTTTTATGGTACATCTCTCCACCCAGGAGTATAAATGGGTACCTTAAATTGTCAGGAAAGTCTGATGAAATGCTGCAATGAACTGGCATCATAATCAGGGAGGATTAGTAATACTTCTGGTCAAATCATGCTTGGGAAAACAAGATAAGGTCCAATTGGGTAAACAGTTGGCTCTAGAAATAGAGTCAATAGCTGCTTCTAATTAGCCCCTTTAAAGGATGATATTAGCTCCTTCCCCATTGAATAAAATAGTGAAGACCATCTGAAACCTTCAGGGAAAATGTACTCAATACATGTATCACCTTTAATTTAGGATCTTTAACATTACAAGCCAGATAATGATACAGCTTTACAGTAGTATGGAATGTAGCTTTGTCTGACCATCAACTTACTGGATGTCGAATGTCTGATATAAGAACAACAATATCAGAGACTTCTAAAACTCGCCACAGCTGTCTCCACGTCTACAATATTAAAATATAAAACGGCTATTCCAGGTACACAAAATTTACATCACATTATTTTTACATTAAAAACTCCTCCCAATAACAATAAAAAAATAACATTAATTCAATTTAGCAAATATTCAACTGTTTGGATTTTCAATTTTCACCAAATGGATCCACCATACGTGTTGGAGGACTGCCCTATGTTTAGTGCTATCCAATCATCAACTCTGATTTGAGGAATTATACAGTGACAAATTATATTACCTCCAAGTTTCGCTCAAAGTAACTGAGTTCTGAGTGCTTGTATTCATCATAAATCTTGTCCAAGAAATTTTCAAACTTTTCTTGCTCTGCTTGTTCTACTTGTTCCTTGCTCATGCTATATTTCCAAGGGGGCCTTTTAGGCATGTCCAGTACTACAGAATCATAAACAACACAAAACTTATTTTTCTTTATTTTTCCAGCTAGTTATGGTAAAGTTTGTACTGGAGCCTATTGGCCCTCTCAGCCTCAGCTTATCCCTGTTTCCAAGTGGCTGAAGAGATTAGAACTTGCTACTACTCCTCCCTGAATTAGAAGCTACTCCATTGCAAGGTTCCCCCTTAGCATTTTATCAGGCTAATCCCTGACAATTTGCTGGTACCATTTAAACTTCAAGTACATGGATATGATCACCCTTGAATTTCTCAAATATTTCAACCATATTTTAAACAACATCTAAAATATTGCACATTCAATTATCAAGCTTTGGGTAGTTCCCATATTCTGATAACACATTCACTTTTGATTCCATATAACAAGTTAACAGATGCTCTGACTCCCATGAGTGACTAAGGCAAAATTTCTCCTTACAACATCAATATAATCTTCTGCAAGCAAGTGATGAGAATAAAGGGAAAAATTGTCATTAAGAGGATTCTCAGTTGATCCAAAAAAAAATTCTTCAAACTAACATCAGAAAATTGTTTGGCAGACAGTATGGAGAATTACTCTCAAGATCATGGGAGTGAAAGGTTTAATTAATAAGCATTTATTCCTAAAGTATCTACATACTATTAATCTATTTATACCTGATCCAGGATTGTAGGTACTTTCAAGGCTCACCTCAAGACTTTCCTAGAGTTTAGAAAATAAATATCATATTCATTTAAATGAACCACCAAAACAAATTCAATAATTGACTACTTTGGTGCAATTTTATTATTCAATCTATTGGACCAACAGAGGATAAATGCATCATTCCAAAACCAATTTCCATAACCTCATAGACTGAAATGGTGAGATTATTAACCCTTAACCCCTTAGAGAAACAAGTATCTAATTTCTCCTTACAATACCACCTCTGAATCAAACATGAAGGTCAGGAGAATAGAGGAAATGATCATCAACTGAAGCAGTTCTTGATAATGTTAACAAATTTTCCTTATCAGTGCCTTTATAATAAATATCTTATGCGACAAGATAAAAATGAGAACTTAGCATACCTCAGTGACGTACTCTAGTGGTTCTTGAGCAGCCTTTTTCCTAGCTTCAATTTCAGCCTTTGATTCACGATCAAACTGCAAGCGATATCTGAAGAAAATCATAAAGGTAATTATAAATTATTGAATTTAAGTGCAGTCAATTCAAGGTAAGGGTTTGTGTTTTTGATCTTAAAAATTAAAATAGAAATATAAAATTCAACAACGAAATGTCAGCAAGGGTGGTTGTTTCTCATTCCAATGGCATATTGCAAAACTTTAAAAATAGCTTTTATTCACATCTAAGTGTAACAAAAGTTCCTCAAGCTGATAATCTGAAAACTTAGTGGCTATGGCCTGTCTGAATGTATTCAAGCAGTAGGTCACAATTTCTTCAGATGTACTTAAGTGTAACAAAAACCTGCATGGGATGGGAGAACAGCAAGTCATTGTACGATTTACTTCATTGTCCGTTAGAAGAATTAGGAACTTGTATGGTTTTACAATAACTCAAGCAAAGAACATTTATACAGAACAAAATTAAAGGAAATGATGCCTCTTTTCTTTCAAGAATATACGTGTAAGGGTTTCGTTCTTCTGTTTAGGGAAGACTTGAATAGCGATTGATTATCTTATGTAAAAATATTTTGGGTCACGTATTTCAATTTCATTTTCTGTGCACAACTAAAAGCATAGATGAGTTTAAAATATTCCCATGATAACCTGTACCTGTTTGGATCGTGTTTTCGGTTTTTCTCCTGCCGATGGGTGAGGGGCTGATGATGTAATTTATCGACAGCTGCTCTCCTTTCGTCCAAAGATTTTTCGAGCCCTCCAATCTCGGACTCTTCATCGCCTTCTGTGTCAGCTGAATTCCCGTTTGAAGATTTGCTCCCTTCATCTGAAAAAAAAATATACATATTTTGACCGATAAATGCAAAACACCTTACACACCAACGATGTAGCACTATTTAAAAACAGACATCCATGCTGCTTATAATGATATGACCGTTTTGAAGATATCCGGCATATAAGAGTAAGTTAGAGTAAATTCAATATACCTAGATTTTTCAAACGATTTTTTTCTCTTTTTTCCTGCAGTTGTTTCTTTTTCTGCTTGTTACTAAAGGGTTTTTTGCGCGGCATTTCCAGCTCGTTCGTCTATCATAGCAATGGTGTGGAGATTTAAATTATATTTAGAATCACAACACTGAAAATAATGAAAACATTAGCACTAACACTGTCATATAAGAACCATCGAAGCTTGGTAGCCTGCCAGTCCACTTCGAGGCTTCGAAGACAAACATGGCGGATTAGTGTGCAAATGTTAACCGTTGAACTTTGAATGCCAGAAACATGGTGAGTGGGCAGTGATTTAGTCAAGATGTCCTTATAGCCCCATAAATAATTATTTTTACAGATCTTTGATGCAAGAAAATGATACCGAAAACGAAAGCTTGCCTTTAGGACCAAGACTTCTTCTATGGGGTTATAAGGAAAATATTTATCTCTTCATGATTTATAATACAACAGTCTCAGTTTTAAAAACCTCAGGTGAATTAGCTCAATGATTTGATCAGTAACTAGGATACTCGAATGAAGCAAATAATTTCCAAGAATTTCGAGGGAGACATGGGAGAAAAACTGGCTTTGTCGCCAGGCGAGCCAACTCGTGCGATTAGGAAGCCTTGAGAATTGACCCTTTACACCCTAACATCAATTAGTTAATTAAATTAATTACATTTATATAGCGCCATCTTCCATTAATTGTCCATTGCACTTTACAATACTCTAAAAACGGTAAAAATTAAAATCCTAAGAATTAAGTACACTATAACTACAAGTAAAAACTACAAATCAAATGCATGCTTAAAAAGTCTTAAGATTAGCCTTAAAAACTGCCTCTGATTATGAAAGCCTGATCTGGAGTGGTAGTTTATTCCAGAGCCTTGGTGCCACCATGGAAAAAGCCCTTTCACCATATGTTTTAAGATTCACTCTAGACTCATCAAGCAACCTGTTGTTTGAAGATCATAGTGTGCGACGAGAGTCATTATACTTCAATAGGTCTTTAATGTAATCTGGGGCCAGTCCATTCAGAACTTTGTAATTCAGCAACAATATTTTAAAAACTATCCTATAATGAACTGGCAGCCAATGTAAGCTCCTTAGGCAGTACTTACATGACCTGCTTAATAAAATATGGATCAAGAGGAAGAATGTCATATTATTAGGTGATTTTAACTGTAATCTCTTAGCTAATACGGCAGATACAGATCAAGATGCGCCATATGACTGTAATAGAATGAAAAGAATTCTTAGGCGTTTTGGTTACGTTAACGTCATTGAATCACCAACGCGCATCACAGCTAACTCTAAGTCACTTATCGACCTCATTATTGTTAGTCCTAATTTGCATGCATCAAATGTCTTAGCTGGTTCTATTGACCTGGGCATTTCAGACCATCATCTTATATTTGCTACCTTTTCTACAAGGAGGAGTAATTCAAAGCCTAAGCTTATTACAGTAAGGAACTATAAGGATATGGATAATGAAAAATTCCAGAGGTCCTTAGAGGAAGCTCCATGGCATATTGTGTCTGCTGTAGAGGATGTTGAGGACAGTGTTTACTTATGGGAAACCATGTTTAAAGACATTATAGAGTCCAACATCAAACGAAGGAATGTGAAGGTCAGACACAAGTCACTTCCCTGGATCAATACCGAAATCAGAAAGGCTATGAATCAAAGGTATAAGTGTTTAAAAGCTGCTCAAGGTAAACCCCATGATAATCCTCAGTGGGACATCTATAGAGCTAAAAGAAACGCTGTTAGAAGTATGCTCAGAAAAGCTGAGGCCTCTTACTGGATTGGGCTATTTAAAGAATCTTCTTCACCTAAAGATTTCTGGAGAATATCTAATCGTATACTTGGTAAGATCAAAAGTGATAAAATTGGTCCCCTACAAGATTCTAATAACACTATTATTTCAGATGATAGGCAGAAAGCGAATTTGATTAATAACTATTTTATTGATATTGCACATGATCTTACTAAGAACTTGGATCCAGTACATTTAGATACTACTTTTTATATTAATAGAATTACTCCCACTATAGAAAATTTTTCTTTGAATTGGGATATAGTTAGAGATGTTTTGAAGTCTATTAATCCAAACAAAGCAGTAGGCCCTGATAATATTTTTCCTAAAGATCTTAAATTGGCACAGGACTCTGCTATTCAGGGTCTGCTAGAGGTGTTCAAAAAAAGCATGGACTGTTGTAAGTTCCCTCAACAATGGAAGGAGTCATTAGTTACACCTGTTTTTAAGAAAGGGAACAGGCTGGATCCTAACAATTACCGACCTATATCCTTGCTTAGTACACCAGGAAAGCTTCTTGAGAAGGTAGTGTGTGACTCACTTGATGATCACATGTTATCCAATGGCATTCTCACAGATAGACAATGGGGATTTAGGAGGGGCTATTCAACGGAGAGCCTCCTCCTTCATCTCACTGAGTCCTGGGGGAGTGCCCTGGATAGAGGCCATAAGGTTGGAGTCTTATTCATTGATTTCCGCAAAGCTTTTGATTGTGTCAACCACAGTATTCTTACTGAGAAACTCAAGGCTGTTGGCTTGGCAGGTGATATGTGGAAATGGATCAATGACTATCTCTCCAACCGTGTACAAGGGACTAGTGTAAGTGGGTCTAGATCTGATAGAATCCCCATTAGAGCTGGGGTCCCTCAGGGATCCTTACTAGGACCAAGATTGTTTGCATCTTATGTTAATGACCTCCCTGAATCTATTACCAGTGGAGAAGTCTATATGTATGCTGATGACACAACAATATATGTAGTAGGGAATACTGTTGATGAAATAACAACAGGGTTACAGGCTGTTTTGGACCAGGTTAATTCCTGGTGTCTTAGTAACAGATTGATTCTACATGAAGGTAAATCCGAGGCAATGGTCTTAAGTACTACCCCCTTCATAGGTCCTTTGAAACAGCTGAAGTGGGGTATGGACACCATTCGGTATGTGTCCTCCACCAATTGCCTTGGGGTTACAATTGATGATAAACTCTCTTGGTCTCAGCATGTTGCATTGGCTAGATCTGCATTTAATGCCAAAGTTAAAATGTTGAGACGTATAAATTTCCTATGTACATCTATCTTGGAGACTTTTTACTATAGGATAGTTATACCAAGTGTTCTATATGGAATTGCAATTTGGGGGTCTGGATCCAAGCTTAAAGATCTAGAAATGATTCACATCAGGGCTGCCAGGCTAATTCATAAGATACCAAATAGTTTTGGGGATAATGATGTACTTTCTAAGGTTGGCTGGATGCCTTTAGAGTATTTTTATAAGCTACGTATCTTAACTATTACATATAATGCTTATTATAATTTAGGGTTGCGGGAAATTAATTGTTTGGTGACCAAGAACTCTAACAGTTATAACCTAAGGAAATCCCTGAATGTTGTACTTAATAGGCCCAAAACCGAATTGGGTCGTAGGTCCTTTGCTCATAGATCTGCAGTAGCATGGAATGCACTTCCCGATAATGTTAAAGATTCTCCAAATTTATCTATTTTTAAATATAACTTAAAACAATCCAAGCAAACTGTTATGAATATTAATTTTGAAAAGGGAGGTAATGTTATACAAAACATGAAACCAAATTTTCACTATTACTAAAACTTTATGGTTTACTTGATTTATTCAACTTATAAATTTTATCATATATGTATTTTATATAATTATAGACTAATTAGTTTAGGCAGGTCCACATCAGTTTAGGCAGGTCCACATCAGCTGTAAAGTTGCGCAAATTTTAACCTGCGTTATCAAATAAAGTTATGTATGTATGTATGTATGTATGTAGATTGAGCTTAATTGTGAGGACACTCCAAAAGCATGTGAGGTAGGAGTGAGGTAGTAATATTCGATGGTATTAAGTTTTTGTTAATCACTGAAAAGTACCAACTTTTACTCTTACATTCACAGAATTTTCTTGCTCTGTGTGCAAGCAGTTACTATGATAATTGTGTTTTTCATCGGTAAGTGAACCTTACAAGCAATTTGTGTATTCAGTCAACTTCTGTGTACTCTGTATGTATGAACCATATTCTGTTGTTCAAAATTATTTCATTTGTCTTTTGGTTATGAAGTATACATACTAGTGAGTATAATGAAAAAGAAATTAGAATCTTCTTCTTTTCAACAGAAACATCAAAGGTTTTATGGTACAAACAGGTGATCCTACAGGTGTGTAGTTAACCCTTTACACTCTAACATCAGTATGCATATTCTCCATACTGTTTTCTATACATTTCCCAAGGTGCTGACAAGGAGAATTTGTTTATATAACAGTCACAAGCTTCTTTAGTTGGTGATCATTTCCTTTATTCTTGTGACCTTAATATTTGATTCAGGGAGGATATTGTAAGGACAACCTCCTACTCACTCTTAGGGGTTAAAGGTTTAAGGAGGATAACAGATATTATTCAGTTAATAAGTAACCAATAAGTTTCCTTATTTAAGTGTTATCCAATTTTTCATTTTAGGAACAGGAAAAGGAGGTAAAAGCATCTGGGGAAAAAAGTTTGTTGATGAGCTGAGTCCATCACTGAGGGTTAGTATCAGTGGATATCACAACGAACCTTAGAGGACAGAATACTATTTAGGAGTAAACTGTTGTAGCCTACAATGTAGCAGTGGTGATCTGGTACCCTAACCCTTTTACTCCCACAAGTGATTGACATGCAACTTCTCCCTATAATATCCATACATTATCCAGCAAACAGGTAATGAGTATACTTGAACTTATCAGGAAGAATTTTTATCTTGATATAACACCAAATTCTCATAACTAATTTACAAGGAGGTGTGTAGCAACAAGAGAGGAGAATTAACAATCAGATCTCTGAAATTAAAGGGTTGAATTTTTTCAAGTATAGGCTGGTTTGGCAAGTCTTGTCAAAAGATCTGTTGTAGCCAATTAAAGTATGTCATTCATTATCACAACAAAGGATGCTGTTTACTTTTATTGTTCACAAATGACCCATGCATCTACAGATTCTTTTTTTGTAAGCAAACTGATGACCTTGGCCTGATTTTGTTTCCAGTCTGTGATAGCAATAACTCATGGACATTTCAAATACATGATTGAATAATGCTCATGTCTTCTGATTAATTAAAGATACAATCATGTATTGTATCAAATTTACCATTATTCTTTCTTATTCTATTTACATACATGATGCTATTGACATTTCTAATCCTAGAAGTATGCAGGATGCATGTCATATCTGAACTTTGTAAAGTCCTTGGACACCAAAGTATCTGTAGAATTGAGGCCCACAGTTTGAAGGTCTGAGGTTTGATTCCTCATGGGGACTCAGGATTTTTTATTTGTCCCACACTTGTGACAAGAGAAAAAACATCTCTTTCTATTTCTTCACTGATCTCAAAATTTATCATGGTTCTTATTGTAATTATGTAACATCTTTATGTTAGCATAATGCAAGAGGAACAGTATCAATGGCAAATAGTGGACAAGATACAAATGGATCACAGTTTTTTATCTGTTATGGCAAACAACCTCATCTCGACATGAAATACACAGTATTTGGAAAGTAAGTAACTGTGTATGTTGAAGATACAGTAAGTCGTTTCTGAAAAATAAACTTAAGGTGATCATTTTAGGAGAAATGTAACATCTGAAATGAAAGCCGTGGATCCTATACTTATTGTCCTTTTTCCCTAATTTTTCCTTCCTCTGTGTTTGCAATCAATTACATGTACTATTTCTTAATACAGCAAACTTGAAACATTTGCTTGTGTTGATGACAATCCCCAAATTTCTCTAGTTATAACAAATCCTAATTGTTACAACTTGTTTAAAAGAAACAATGACTTTGAGATAACTGTCAAATGGAATTTAGCCCTTTAGTCCCCAACATCATTTTTCATATTATCTGCACTCTGTATCTTTTTTCTTTATACATTTACTGTAGTATTGAACAGGACAAAAATTTTCTCTAACAATTTGAATTGTTAGGAACTGAAAATTGCCTTGAGGTGAAAGAGTTAAGAGTTTCAGGGACACAATCCTTAGAGTTTCACTATTTTAATTTATAACATAGCTAGTAAATTTGTCTAATCAAATTCCATTGCGTGAGCGTGCTTCATATTCCTATTGTGCACGCTTATGATGTCAGCAAACAAATCCCTCACAAAAAAAAAATTTTCCTTCGGTTTGAAAATGTTATAAGATATGAAGCACTTGGGAAGTTTGGAGAGCACTCAAGAAGCTAGAGTTGCTCTTGGCTACGCCTCGAGCAACTCTTACGCATCTTTTGTGCTCTCCAAACTTCCCGCATGCTTCATATCTCGATGAATGCATGCTTACGTATGAACCAATTGTTAATTATATTATTTGCAGAGTGATTGATGGGTTAGAGACCCTTGATGATTTAGAGAAACTCCCTGTAAATGAGAAGACATACCGCCCACTCACTGAGGTGCGAATAAAGAATGTGACCATCCATGCAAACCCTATTGCAGATAAGAGTGGATGAATCAATCCAACAGGAAAGTTACGGTGTAAGCCTACCACTACTTACTGCTTACTGCCAAACAAGGACAGTGGTGTGTGCTATCAGACCAGCAACACTGGAGGGAACAACTTCACAATCAAACAACGCAAGATGCAACAGAAAACAATCCTAAGAGACTGTGTTAAGAAAACATTTTATTTTGGGACAAATTTTGTATAAAATGTTTTTGTCTTTGTCTTTACAGTATAGTTCTCATACCTTCCATTCTCAAAAAACCATGAATTATGCAGAGTACAGAGTAAATCTTGTCATATTCATGTGCATTAAATCCAATTAAAATAGTATGTTTGTGTTCCCAGTGAGTCTTGATCTTGCTGCCACTGAAAATACCCGCTTTTAAGCTTTTACGCATGAACATTTATGCATTGAACGGTAAGGGTATTTAAAATACTCTCACTATTCACTGTATACATGTTCATGAAATAACAGACAACAATATTCCCTTTCATAAATCATCCTGTTGTGCCACTTAAGCCCCAAGGCAGTTAAGAAAGTTGAAACCTCAAAGAAAAATAACATGCTGTTGATGGAAATGTGTAAAGAATCAACCCTGCACTTTCCTTTGCTGACAGCTTTCCATCTTGTGCTTATGCATTGGATTCACACACCCTCAAATCTGTCCTTGTTGTTGAAACATTGATTCAGGTGGACGTCTTTGTACATTCTTGAACAGTTTCCCAAGCACATGATCATGAACCTTACAACATATTCTTAGAACTGGTCTGATGTTCAAATCTCCTTCACACTGCAGCCTGACAGTGGTTTATTAATTCCTCACAGTACCTAAAGAGTTGAAAAGCATTAGTTTAGCTTTTTGACGAAAAAAATGAGTGGCTTTACAAGTTTATGAATGACTGGGCTTATACACAACATCTTCTGGTTTCCCCTTTTGTGAATCAACTGTCTTTCTGCATGCTAGATCATAACATCCCCTTGTTATCCAACTTCACAAAGTAGAGAAAAAATAAAGCATGATTAGAGTACAAGTAGCCTGTGATATTGTACAGTTGGTTATATTATACTGTAAGAAAACCTGATTAACCAGTTGGCAGTGTGCACTATGCTTCTCTATTCACTTTGCTTTTCTTGCCATATGAAAAATGATTAGAAACACTTAGCATAGAAAAAGCAGTTGGATAACAAATAACATTTTAGATGTTTTGGTGTGCAGTATTGCTTAGTATTTTTACTCTTTGTTTGTATTTTGACTTGCCCTACAGGCTTGTCAAAATACAGCACAACTTGTAAAAATACTCAGTAATAATACCCACCAAAACTTGTAATAAGATATATATTCTTTGAGTTTGTTCATGATTTTATGTAGTTTGTGATACACTCCCCAATTACATGCATGTTGCGTATTCACAGAAAAAAAAAATTTTTTTCTTGATACGAGACAACCATGTCTATCACAAAATTCCAAGGTGACAAGTATGGTGTGATATTTTTATTTTTGGAAATGTTTACATGGTCACATTCTAGATTTTTAATTGGTAAATTTGATCTGTTATGTTTACTTTTGCCCTGAGATCTTCATTGTGAAATTGTTTGAGGGAAGTATGAAACATACATTTCATCATAAGTTGAGCAATTAAGGTCCTCTTTAACAAGCTTAATAAGGAAAACCCATGAAAGGTCTACCTGGCCACTCTGTGTTTATGCCTTACAGCCTCCACCTGTTCTTTAAGTAGCAAAGGTTGGACCTTTGCTGCATCTTTTAGCACATTAAGCGTTGCTTCCTGCAAAATAAGAAGAGTACAATATACAAAACTCCTTTTTCAACTGAAGCACTTTTGAATTGAATGTTGAAACACTAAAACCAAAGTAATCAAAATGGCCAATTAGAAGAAAGGAAGTACTTTAACAGCCAACGAGAAGTCACTGTAAAACCAACTAAAATGCCTAAAGTGTGGGAAAATGATAGCAGCCAGGTCATAATTAGTTTTAGTTTGATTTGCATCTGATTGGTTGAGAGAATGGTGCAAGTTTTCTACATCAATCACAGAACGAGGTAAAGCAAAACCAAAGCTATCCATGAATAAAGGAGTAAGTTTCTAAAGAAACTGTGGTGCTGCGTCAGTGGGAGAGTATAGCAGGTAATTTAGTGTTAACAACTGAGTTGAAAACGTAAATTAGCCATCGTAAAGGGTAAAAAAGCTGATGTTTCAAGAGTTAGCCCTTCATCAGAGCGATCAATCGATCAATTTCTCTGATGAAGGGCTAACGCTCAAACATCAGCTTTTTTACCCTTTACGGTGGCTAATTTACATTTTCAACTCAGTTAACACTAAATTACCTGCAAAGCAATCCATGGATTTCTTTTGACAAAATTGTTAATTGCTTTAAGGAGCAGTTAGTTTCACCATCTAAGGTTGTTATTCTGGCTCTGATCTTTCATAGGGATGACTGATTGCATTCAACACCTCGGTGTATAAAGTACCCTTTGATGCATCTTCATTGTTTTTTCTCTGTACATGTAGTGAAATGCCCTTAAAAGTTAACATAGATGATGATGCCTGTTCTACTTTGATGGCTTTTTTCTCCATTTTGAGAAGTATTGAGTTCTGTTAAGGAATGTGTGAGATCACAATGACTAGAAATAGGTAATGGAATATGTGAAGTGTCCTGACAGAAGACAGATGTAATGATGATTTTGGTGACTGAAGGAGCTTTTAATTTATCAGTATTTATTGAATCTCTACAATTTAAAACTAGCACCTAGAGGTGTTCATAAATTTACTCACCTGTATTGAAGCTGAAGGGTCATCTAAATGTACTAAGAGACCTTTGAACATGGCTTGAAGGTGTAACTTGTATAAGTCACAATCGTAGTCAGATGGAAATGCTCTAAGGGAAATTGATAAACAAAAAGAATAATATGATAAAGACAAGGTCAAAAATTGTTTAATAATGTTTGTCCAAGTCCAGGAGTATTTAGTAAAGCATCAATGATAATACTACTGACAGTGGTCTTGTACAGGACTGGAAACAGATTTCCTACCAAACCATTAAAATTGCTGAATTTTATCAGTTTTGGCTGAAAGAGTGACAATGAGGATAAAATAAAGGCTGTTCATGTCCACAAATGGTATTGAGAAGTGCTTTTAGTTTAATTTGTGATATATTGTTGAGGGTAGTCTAGGAGACAGAGTTGCTGCAGAATGTTGTGTCAGTAAAATGAACTTGAGTTAAACTCAAGATTGTTAATTTCTTTTCTCATTATAAACTGCTACACTTTAAAGATCTGTTCATGAAAATACATAAAATACATTCCATTTGTTACAGGCAGACATGCACTTTTACATTTGACCTATTTAATTTTGCACAGTATTTCACACAAATGATAAATATAGTTTTATAAAATAATTCAAATAGTACGCACACTCTGATTGGCCATAAAACCATTTTACATGAGCATATGTAAACACGGTTTTCGTTCCTCTTTCATTAGTTATTTTATAAAAGAAATGTAAAATGGTTTCCGTGTTTACATAGCCTGATGTAAACACTTGGGAGGTTGGGAGAACACGAGATAAGCTGGAAACCACTCCGCTTCGTGTCGTGGTTTCCTACACTTATCTCGTGTTCTCCCAACCTCCCGCGTGTTTACATCAGGCTATGTAAACACGGAAACCGTTTTACATTTCTTCAGTATAAACTCAACTGCACTAACCTAAAGTAAGCAAGAAATGTTTTGGTGACAACAATTCTTATCTCATCACTGCTATCATCCATTCTCTTCAGTAACTCAGGGTAAACCTGATGAAGCATATCAGCTAAACAAGGGTGGAATGAAGCAATTACATTATAACAATGCCTCAGACAATGAAAAAAGGATAATTATAATTAAAATTACTTGTCGTGAATTGTACTATCTTTTGAAAAGTCACAGGCAGATGTTATACCAATGCAGGGTAAAAGGAAACTGCAGCACACTCACAAATGAAACCAAAGCACCTTTGGTGAAACCATATCACACCTTTCTTTAACATAGGCTTGCCTAAAAATCATTTTTCTTCAGTTCATTCCATAATACTGAAACTGAAACAACACAAAGATGATGCAACCCACCATTAAGACTTTCTTTACAAGACATAAGGAGTCTCTGGAGGGCTTTACAAGATACAAGTCTTGTGGTTTGGTTGTGGTCATCAAGGCAAGAGGTGAGCTGCAAAGAAGAAGAGAGACTCAGATGAGATTAGAAGAAGTCAGGGACAACAGTACGTCAAACTGCCCAAAAGGTTACCAGAATATTCTGTACAACATATTTCAAGTTAAAAAAAGAAAAGAACAAAATGATAAAAATTACACAAATATGCCCCGTTTGAACTTTTCAATATTTTTATCATACAAAACAAGTAAAACAAATGGTTTCCATAATGTTGTATATCCACTGAGGAGATACTTGGTATCACCCAGATGTACATGCATAATAAACAAAGAATTTCTTAATTTGAGTTCCACAAATTGAGAATCGAAGCCTAGCAAAATAGCTGATTTACTTACTCACAATTAACCCATTACTGGACAACAAATCTCTTTTTTCAGGTGTTAAAATGAAATATAATAGTAAATCCATAGCTTGTGTACCTGAGTGAGAAGATCCTTCATTATTTGTCCAGCATCTTGCAAAGACAACAAGTTAGATTGCAGCAAAGCCCAAAGGCAAGAGATTGCTGCAGAGCGAACAGCAGCAGCAGTTCTTAAAAAAAAAAATTAGGCTTCAGGCTTTCATAACATGAGTCATTAAATCACTAATTAAGCATGAATTCCTATCAACACAAAAGGGACATGCATCATGCAGCTCCTTTTGAAATGTTTGCAGGTTTGGAACCTTCCCAAGCATTAAAGACATATACTTTGACCTATGTGAGAGAGCATGGACATGACACTGCTTTCACTACCAACTTTGTATCCTGGAAACAACAAGAGAACATGTAAAGTCAAAAAAGATTCATTGGTTACTACAGCACCTACCTTCCTGCTTGCCATACACAGTTAGGAATGATCAGTTTTTGAACAGCTTGTACTGAGAAAGGATTGAAAGCTTGCTGTAAATCCACTGATTCAGATGCACTCATGAAGAGCCGCGACAACAGTGAAAACATTCTGCAAATCATGAAGGGTAAAAATTGAAACATAAAAATGGATACTGTTATTGTGAATATCTGTTATCCAACATGACTGATGGGGTGCTCCACTGTAACCTAAAGATTTACCTTCCAATTTTCAGAGTAATGACATATGAAATCATATATGGGCACTGCAGTTAAAGAAATGAATATTGAAGCAATCCTTGCAAT